TCAGTAATTTAAAAATTAAATTTAAGTAATTGCTTGGAACACAAAACCTCAGCCAAATATTACCATCGTTAAACGTTATTATTTACCCCGAAATCAGGTAACTTTAATTTTATAACGCGTTATTTCTAACAAACCACAAATTACGTTATGTATTTATTCTTGTTGTATGGAAATGATATTTAATAAATTTTGCATTCAAAATACTTCATAGAGGTCCAGATCATAGATATTGAAGTGTTAGAATAAGGAAGTAAAAAATAAAAACGGGTTTAATTTTTTACTTCTTTATTTTTACTAAACGGGTTTGCATACATTTTTTCATTTTCAAACCCAAATCAAAATGTGAAAGAGAAGTGGATTTCAGTCATTCGTAATAGTCGAAATGAACCTTCATGGAATCCAACTTCACGCTGCGTAGTTTGTTCGACTCATTTTAAGAGCGATGATATGTGTTTTACTATAAAAGGGTTACGTCGAATAAAGCAAAACTTATATCCAAAGGTTTCAAACTTTCTATATATTAAAATTTTAGTTAACATAGTGGAAGTTTTCAAACTTAACTTAAAAATTAATTAAATAGTCTCTCTAATGTATGGCCTCCAATAATATTTACCTACTCTTAAAGATTTTAGAATATCTATGCTGATATTGACAAACGAATTTACATTATATTATTAAATAACATAGCGTTAATGTTAACTCTATAACGTCGTAACGTTAAGTTATTGGGGCGTTTTTAATGACTATGGTCACACTGGCACGCACACTACAATTGCTAAAAATCGGCTTCACTTTGTTATTCAGCGAACTCCGTCTTTACTTTTTATTTGGTCTGAGGTTTTCATGATCAAAAAACAACAACTTACTTAAACCTATGAAAGATTGCAGTTAGTTAATCTATAATTCTTTCGTTTGATATTTCTCAATAGCTTACAAAGATATTTTCGCTTAAAGAATTAAACCTCTAAGTATGTGGGTCTAATTCTTTGAAATAATTTCGTGAATATCTTTCAATCTGTACTTACTCTTTTGTAAACTTGTATAATAATTATCGAGGCTTTTTGTATTGTATTAGGTATGGCGTAGGTATCTACTTATCAAATAGAAATGTATGGCGCCTAAACATTTTATAGTTGTTTTTTTAATTCCTCATTTATTAATAAAATTTTGATGGCGATATTCCTATGTCCAAGGTGCAAAAGTGTTAAACCCGATGAAAACAAAATAAAGTTTATGATATTTTATCTACAATTATATTGCCTTATCTATATAAATGAAAAACGTTGAATATTCGTGTGATATCAGCCATGCGATTCTGTAAACGCATTTCGAACATCGGAAAGCTCAATCCGTGGGGAGATTCAAACTTCGTATAAGTCTGTATAACTCGAAAACGCCGGTAGCCCCTTACTGTGTCATAAAAAGAAAGAGTAAATACTACGGTTACAAATTGTTGAAGAGATCTGTCAAAGATTTATTAGGTATGGCGTAGGTATCTATCAATCTGTAGTAAGTAACAGAACGGACAATTTTAGTTTAGTGCCTACGTTATGACCTACATTTATTTGAATTAGGAGCATCCAAAACTAACTCCAGAGCTAAAAAAAAATATTCCGATTCCAATTTAAGCCCTCGTGTTATTATACATATTATATATTAGTGTCAGGTTTATTTTATGGCTTGAAAAAGCTTCATTAAATATACACAGGCAAATAATATAAACGACAAGTTGAAATAATAGAGTAATGTTAGACATCAACATTTTTAAGTTGTACTGTTGATCGAAGTGATTAACTCGTTTAGGTAAAAGTAGGTATTAAACATGCATTAAATCATTATACATCTGGTTTGTGACATGTTCAATTATAGTATATGAATAATTGGAGAGTATCGTACCATGCGCGTGTACTGACATAACAAATCTACCCTTTTTATTGTAATTTCACTGCCTCAAATATCAGCGACATTAAGGTGATAATTTTCGACCCTTAAACATGTTTAGGCGAGTTATGCATAGAGTTACCAGACGTCCCGTATTTCAAGCATAAGTTCAAATGTCCCGCTGTAACCGACTCTGTCCCGTATATCAATTCGTTTTCACAAATGGTGTTAAAATCGGTGGAATAAAAAGCGAATTAATGTCCATATTTAACTATAGTTGTATTGATTTTTTTTTAATATCGACGCTGGAAAGCAAACACGTTGTAACCCGCAAAACCAATTAAATTAAACCAAAATAAAATCATGCGCGCATTAAAACGCATTCATCGAACAAATGTGTTAATCTGAAAAATGTTAAAGAAAAAATATATTATATACGCATATATACGGATTCCTAATTTGACTTTCCGACAAAAATACAGCATCGACGAAACAACAACAAATCGTAATTTTAAACCCAGCCACGATTTTCTTAATTTCATCCATAAATGACATTGTTATCACGGCTATTTGGCCCAAACCACCTCGATAATTCTTTTCTTTAATGTTTTTTTGTTTTAAAAATACAAATCTTTAGGTCATTTGGAACCTCATTTCACTTCACTTTTTCTAAGAAAAGTTTAGAGCAGCGCTTTAAAAATCCTGAATTTTATGTTACGTAATTTATGGGTGGCCCCTTAAAAGTCTTGTTTAGAATGAATTTTTAACTTCCGCTGTTTTATTCTCAAAGTGGGCTGTAGATGACATAAGTTTGGGATATCCTGATTTGCTTTCGAAGTGAATTCGGTCACCTGAGTGAATTCGAATTCGGATTTGGATTTTTACGGAATGGCCCTACTGAGTGCCTCTAGTGAGTAATCATGTGGAACAAGACATATGTATTATATGATGTTTTTCAGAATATTTGCTTGAATAAAAATCTTTGCAAATCACAGTCATTACATAATGACTGTTTTGAATTATTGATTTGGACGAGTTTTATGTATAGATTTGCTTCTTGAACGCCTAGAAAATGATTCATTTTTATTGAATGGCGATATTTTATGGTTACAGCTGTATGGCCAGTTTTCAAGGGGATCATTTTTTATTTTTATTCTTTAAAGGACTGTAGTCGACTTCACAAATTTAACGATTCATTAAAACCGGCCAGGTACTAGTCGAACTTGCGCACCGACAGCTTCGTACAAAGCTGTATATAATGTGACCGGTTTCATCGATACGGTTATTTATTCGGATTCTCTGTCATCACTTATAACACTATAAACACACTTATAAACATCGCGACTCTACACCAGCTCTGATCAATAACATACATCAGTGTGCCCAACCAATTAGGTTCTGCTGGGTGAACGGACACTCGGACATTCTTGGGAATAAATTGGAAGACAGCTCCTGGTGGTGAGACAGCAACATGTCGGACTATGGGGCCGCCTGTTCCCTTTGACCTTCAATGTTTGAGAGCCAAGACAGCAGCATTAAAATCTTTCACCGAGTTCGTTGTTGAAATATATTTTCAACTGAAATTATAAAATTTGAGTATTACATGCATTTCTTTTTTTTTTGTACATTTCCTCTCTTGTTTTTCTTGTCTTTGCTTTACTTTTGTCTACACTTTGGCTCTATCACAGGCTATCGACAGCTACAGCTACCGACTGCAAATGCAGACAGGACCAACGGCTTAGCGTGCTTTCCGAATCACGAAGTAACTCAAGATAATAAGTTTTGGTCACCCATCCCGTGGCCGACCCTTGTGAAAGTTGCTTAACAAAAACGATCGCGGGCCGCAACGCTTAGCACTGCGCCGCCGAGCTAGTATTATTATGCTACTAAAAATACATAATTTGTTTACTACAGTTGTTTCGAACAGCAGTGGGATATGTGACTAGTGTTCGACAGACTGTCTAAAATAGCCATTTTAATGACTTTCCTTTGTTTACAATTCTTCCTATATCCCCGGCCGACAGATCATTTATTTTGAGCCGAGTAAGATAATCCGTTTATAAATTGTCTGCGAATAATTTCTTGTGACTACATCGCTAGTATAAAAAGTATTTATTTTTTATATTTAACAATTCTCTTTTGGGAAATGTTTAGTAGTATTATTAAATGAAGTCACTTTTCCGTTTTCTAAGAATTATATACTATTTTATCATATAAAAGTGTTTAAATCAGTGATTCTTGAGTAAACTGGTTCTTGGTACCTAACTAACGATCAAAAACTAATTATTATTATTTGGAATCTAGGAATTGTCCAGCAGAAAATTTATAATGTTATATTTGATTAGAATTCCAGGAATCACCCAACGAGTCATACATAGTTCCATAAACCTAGAGAGGTTTCGGTTTTCGGAGATCCAGTACATAATTGTGACAGCGCTTGTGATTGTCAGTAGAAGGTAGCACTGTTAAAATATCTATGTATGTTGACAGTTCGTTGAGCTTAACTACTTTCAGCTCAAAGTTTTGACAAAACATCAATCTTGGATCATAAGAGGTTCTCAATAATATTATAATATTATGGTATAATATGTCAATTATATGACACTGGGGATCCTTTTGGTGGGACAAAATGTCTATATACTAATATAGACTAAAAGTTGCCTTTATAGCAAATTTCATTAAAATCCGTTTTTAAGTTTATGCGTGAAGAAGTAACAAACATCCAAACCTACAAACTTTCGCCTTTATAATATTATTAAGATTTATTTTTTACTATGTGCATTCCAATGAATCCAGTCTGAATATAGATAATTGATTGAAGAGTCAGGCAAACAATAACAAACCCTTTGATTAGAAATCGTGTTAATACGTAATGTTAGATATCGTCTAATAGAAATATTGAAGATTTTATTATGATGAACCTATTGTTCGAAATCTAGCTTCAACAAATTGCAGGGAAAACTGTAAATTGTGATATTTGAACAACAACGGTCCGGTACATTAAAAGCATTTGGCATGCTCCTGTTGCCAAATTAACTCCAAGGGAATGTCTCGCAAATCGCTCTCGTATGGTTATTACGAAATGTGCGTCGAGCCGGTCGGTCAGTGTAAAATGCTTTGATTTTATTGTGTCAAGACGTCTTGATGCCCGCATAGTTATCCGTTGTGCGCAGTAAACGGTCGCCCGCCTCCATCTTGCATTATTCCCGTCATCGTTTAATTTCTAAGCAAAGGCATAGAATTTCATACAGTTTGTGAACATTTTATTTGAACGAATTCTGTTTGTGTCTCCCTTTTTAAGACAACAATTCAGGTGGGTATTTTTATTTTATTTCTAACCCAATATTAGTGTACTAGTCAATTAATTTAATCTTTCTACAATAACATTGCACGTAAACATTAAAGAATGTTTAACTTCTATTTAAGGATTCCGTTTTTAAGTTTGTTTATAATCCTCGGGGTAGTTATGAAAGCAAACTAACAAACCCCTGAAACTAAAAATGCCCATAATTAGTTCTATATTCAAGATTTCTTTTCCCTTAATTTGCATATGGAAAAATACCTACTCGAGTACTTGAGACTGTCGTATAATATATGTAGGACAGGTACCAAATACAATAAGTATCCCGTAAGTATAAATATGAAGGGTTAAAAATAGTAGTACCGAGAAGAGCCCCTTGATCGTACACAATAAGTATTGCACACGACTGATACAACGTGTTCTGATACGAATGCATGTAACTGCCAAGAGCTTACGGGGCGGTGTTTGGCCGCCGCCGCCGCCGGTGGTGTCTACAATGATTTATTACTCTGTGCACCACACTTGCATTCTCGTAAGGAGGTAAATAAGAGTAATTCCGCTTTTTAATAAGCTTTCGCAAAAGTTACATTTTTAAACAAGTATTATTTACAGAGTAGTTTATAACACAAAGGGCAAAAATGGCACTTTTATTTTTACGACGAATAAATAGAATAGAAACGAAAGCAATTTACCATGAGTTTTTAGCTTAGATTTCGCATGCATGCATTCTGCCGTATAACAGAGATCGTTCATTTCAGTAATGTTTTTTTTTATGATATAGTTTTATTACACATCAAGTCTTTATTACATGACTAACCAAACGAGAAAAGTATTTTATATACAGAGTTAATGTGTCTACGTGAGTTTATTTATTCCACTATAACTCTATCTCTATATATCTAAATATGTCGTATTTAAGTCGTCATGTATGGGTTTATAATACGAAGTTAATAATAAAAATGTCAACTTTTGAACGACTAAACGGATTTGAACGTATGGTGACACTAGTTACTGATTCCGGACCCAAAGGGAAAAAACGGAACCCTATCACTAAGAGTCTGTTGTCCTGCCGTCTGTCTTTTCGTCTGTCACCAGATTGCATCTCACGAACCCTAATAGTGAGAAAATTGTTGAAAATTTCTCAAATTAAATACTCATACAAAAGATGAATTTTTCATCGTTTCCATCACGAAATCCTTTGAGCGCGAGTTCGCCTCGCACTTGACCAGTTTTTTTAATATCGTAGGTAAAAGGCGGATGTGTAGCGGCTATAAAAAAATAATATAACTTTTTCTTTGATCATAATAAAATGGATATTAAATTAAACGCCTTGATGGATATATTACAAAAACATGCTATTTATATACTTAATTTTACACATAATGGACTCAGCAAAATATTTTGAAAACACTTGAATTAATACAATAAAAACACTTATTAAAAATAAATTAGAAACAAACCTACTTAGGTGAAAAATTTCTAATTCAATCTAATTTTAACATCCATCGTCAGCTCAATTTTTTTTTAAATTAAGGTATATACGACATAGTGGTAGCAATTCTGTTACACAAACTAGACTTTTCGATAAGTCCTGCCAAACAGTGTTTTCGATTGTGAAAAAAGGATGTAGAAATAAACTTATTATATAATGGGGTACATTTCTTTGATTGATTACATAAATCTTTGATATGACGTTAAAACTAACCCAAACAATAAGCGAGGAGCTTTAAGTTTGCTTCAACTTTATAGAATGGTAAACACGGTTGTGTACATCAATATGTCAAATGTTTCCAGTTATTTTAAACTTTACCATCAAAACATTATGATTTATAATCAAGTGGAGAAAGACAGATTTGTACAGCCTGACGTACGGTTAACTGTACAAAACAATTAGCACCATTATTTTTCGATAAAAAAATTAAGAATCATAAACAAAAAAGGACCAGGTACCTAGTAAAGGAAATATTTATGTGTTAACATTATAGGTACTTTAGATACAAAAATGAGATTTTTGGTATTCTAGAACATTGTTGTTATTATGTAGTTTCCGTTAAACGAAAAGGATAGTTGAATCATCAATTTATTCCAACTGAAAGACTAGTATCTAAAATTAGACTAATCCATCATATTTCTTATTGAAGTAAATATGAAATCTTTTTTATTTATTGGAAATCAATGAGTCGACGATATGCAAACGGAATATCTGACGTCAGTTACAGTATATTATATGTTTATGTGTATCTTTGCGTCAGTATTAATTAGTATTCAACCAAACAGACATAAGAGGAACTTATAATAATATATGTATTTGTAATAAATCATAACAGGCGCGATCACGTTGTTTTTGGACCATCTCAAGACCATTTAGTAATCACCACGTTTTAACTGGATTCGAAGATTCAAACGTATCTTTTTATATTTACACTTATGGCAGAAAAATAGTATTTACAGAAATAATTATCGAAGCCTAGACATACCTATAATGATCTATAATAATAATATAAAGAGGAGCGAATGGATTGTTTGTTTGCATTGAATAGATTCAGAAAATACTGCACCGACTATAATTTATTTTAAGAATATGTATAACTACCCAATATTAACACAATTGCAAATGTATCGAACAATTTATAAATATTCAATTTACAAAAATATAATAAATTATTAAAAAAACATCAATAGATTATCAAGCGTTTGATGTTTTTATTTTCCTACTAAACATTAAGAAAGATATTTGTTTTTTTTTCCATTAGAATCCTACATCATATCGGATGAACATAGGCGATAGAATGTTATCAAAAATGTAAGTGTGTAAAATATATTCGTGCGAAGCGAGGGCGTGCAGCTAATGAATAATAAACATTTACTGATATGTATTATAAAGAAAAGAAAGAGGAAAGATTTGAATATTTGTTTACATTGGATACCTATTTCGAAATTACTGGACTGATTTTAAAAATTCTTTTAGTTATGGAAACTTATATTACACTCGAGTATATAATTCTATAATTTACGCGGGCGAATTCGCAGTAAAACAGCTAGTGCAGAATAAATTTTCAAATGACGTATCGTAGGTATATATAGATATTCCGAAGTTAAGTTTTCTACAAATTTCATTAAAAAGAAATTTATTACACGCAGTTCCAGTAAGCTGTTTTTTAAATTCTTAAAGATAAAAGTTTCCACAGATGCGATCGTGAACTAATTCCATGCAAACAAAAACTAGTAGAAGCACAAACGATGCGGTTTCCACTGATGCGGGCAGTATAAATAACCGGTATATATCTCTAAATTGGATTACGACTATGAGATTTCGAATGAGAGATATATTCCACTCAGCGTACCAATTTCAATAGTTTCTCGATCATATAAATAGAACATATTAGGTGCCAATGTCGGTCTAACTATCTTTACTAAAATAAAAGCTTTTCAATACAAGAATAAAAAAACAATTTTATTTTTTTAATAAATATAGCACTTAACTAAATACAATGGTTTAAAAGTAGTTTAAACATTAATAAAAGGGTACCCTGTATTATCATAAAAATAATAAGTTATCTTACTTATTATACACCCGTTTCACTAATCTAGAACAAGGCAAATCTTAACTAGAAAAAATCTTACGAATCGCCTAAGCAGATCAGTTTAATTACAAATGTTTTTTTTTTTTTTATCTCTTGACACCTTTGTTCTATTACACCTAGCCAGTAGCGGTGTTAGGGTAGGGCGCGGTTGGGCGACCGCCCAGGGGCGCCGGACAAAAAGGGGCGCCGCAGGCCGCGGCGCCCCTTTTTCGTCCGGCGCTTCTTTCTGATTCTGTATAATGAGGAAGTATTTTAAAAAAAACGAAAGCACTACAAAAATACCTCCACCTAGATGGCGACTCTAGCAAAAGTTGATTTTTGCAGGAAACGAATGGAACAAAGACAGTCATTTCCGTTCATTTTAACTAACATATTAAAAAACTGAAATTTGAAAAGTTCGAAACTTAGATATCAATATAAATACGAAAAAGTACAAATAGAATATGAGTTGTTAATTGAGTTTTGAAAACTAATTTACTTTTAAACATGGAAGAAAACTGGAAGGGTTGTCATGGAGAAATCAAGAACATACCGTGGCGACATCTAGTTTGATTTCGGGATCAAATGTTTTTTTTTTCTTATACTTCCTCATTTCCCACAGACGCCCTCTTATAGTTCCCTTGCTCATTGAACAAGGCCTACTGGGTCGGCGAAAAAAGAACATGAAAGTTGAGTTTTTTTTTTATTTTCAAGTTGCCTCACTTTCAGCATGAATTGAAAAGAAACTTAACAAAAAATATATTATATTATGGTAAAACAGAACAACACACCGATTACCAATATGAAGATATGTATTTTATTAGGTAATATGACGTACATTGGTGGGCATTATCGCTCGGTCATTTAAGAAAATTTTCGTTTGAGAATGTTTAAACGTTAAGCTGAAGCTAAAATGCTGCAATACAAACGAACGCATCGGCAGTGGAACCTCTGTCTGGCAAGTCAGATGGAATAGCTACTCAAAAGATTGTGGATGAAAAATCCCGAAGTAAGGGAGCAAGTTGTGCTATGATTACAGATGCTGCTGAGGATAAATCTTTTATTGATGTACAACAAATACATGTACTAGATGATTTTGATACTGTTGTCCCGAATATAGCGGATCCAGCTACTTGTCCACTTATTTGAAATAGCAAAATAATTGATAATATAATAAGTAGTGGCCCACTGCAAACTCGCTGTCACAAAGTTACAATAATTACACAAAGTTATAGATAACAATTATGTGACACCCTGTTAGGGTAAAATTGAATCTGTACTTACCTAATGATGTGATCCGTCAAAAATGAATCAGCTACTTATACGCTATTTATATGTCTACGTTTTAAACAAAACTAATGTCACTATATAGTTGGAACAAGAACATCGTAACATAGCGTTAAACGTTTGATTACTGTGTTTGTTTGTTTTAAAATAATCGAATAATTTTTTTAAGAGCGTCCACTTATATCGAGCAAGAAGAAAATAGTTGATTGTGTTTTTCTTCGTCAAAAATTAAAAGAGATAGATCTAGGGAATTCCCGATTATAGAAAAACACACATTGGACGCTCTTAAAAAAATCATTATCGAATAATTTTTTTAAGAGCGTCCACTTATGTCAAGCAAGAAGATAAATGTTGATTGTGTTTTTCGTCGTCAAAAATTAAAACTGATAGATCTAGGGAATCCCCGATTATAGAAAAACACATTGTTTCCGTATGATCGGAAAGTCGGGGATTCCCGAGAAATTAAACCGATTGAACACTACGTTCCATTCTAATGCTGCCAACTTAACAATCTACCTAAATTTAGGGAAAATTACAAGTAAGTAGGCAGGGTCGGCGAAAAAAAGACAAGTAATTGATTTGTAGTATGTAGTAGTAACTGATTGTAATTGAATTGCAGTAAGAGGGCGCCGAAGAAATTTCGCCCAGGGCGCCAATAGTGCTAAAACCGGCACTGCACCTAGCACAAGGCGATACATATAAACATTACTAAATGTTTGAGGCGACAGTTTGAGCGACTCATTTTTAGTGAAAGCGGGCATTAGTTATTTAATTTACAGAATATAAAACGAAGTTTGAATGTGTTTTTGTGCAACAGAATTGCTAAGAATGTTTTCTATAGCAGTGTCGGGCACAAAGTATTTTTTAGAATAGAATAAGTGATCTTATTACTATTTAATATTTAAACTACTGAAAAAAGAGGAATAACAAATAAACTTCATTAATAACATACAAAAACAAAAAATCTTAATATGTAACTTATTTATAGTCAATCCTGTTTTATTAACGCCCCATTCAAAAAGATCATAAATTAAAGTTAAAGTAACAGACGTCGCTTACGAGTTTCTTAAGAGTTACCTTTGAGTATCGGGTTCGATTTTCAACTAAGTTGGCCTGGAACACAGTTTTTCATGATTATCTCGGGTGCTATTGTAATCCTAGTAGGTATACTTCATGCACCTATTAACCTATTAAGATTTTTAAACGTAAATACGTATTATTTATTACGCTGTGTATATTTAAAATGGACCAAAGAGCTCGTATCTATATTTTCATTTCAAAAACAAAACATTTTGCTTTTACACTTTTTTAATGAACCAAAACGAATGATGATAAAATATGGTTTGATTTGCGTGTATTTTGACGTGAACCAAATGTGCCTTGTCACAGTTTGGAGGGCATGCTTATTTACACATTGGCAGACTTTCAAAGCTATTTGATTTACATTATGGCGGTCTGGGCTGGTATAACAGCGTTTATATTATAAAACGGTATTTATTACAAATCTCATCGCTGAAAATGCCCTTTTCAGAATATGCAGAAATGTTCTTAAAAAATTTAATTGATTAATGAAATGCAAAATGGCATATAATATAGTCGGCATCAATATTTATTGTTACATTTACGGGAACTTATCCTGTAAATAATGAATCTGCTATTACAACTCAACGTTGAGTGCAGCACTGTAGCAGTATAGAGTTTTATGAAATAAATCTTTTATTATCTTTTAAGGCAGGTTTTCTGTCCTGCGGAGCTGGGTCCTGGTAAAAAAATTTATCTTGAAATTTGGTAAGCAGCAACGTCTTATAGCACTGATAAAGGAAAAAATCCGAATACCGTAATTTTTTATTACATCCTAAAATAAAAATATTTTTAATAATTTTAAAGTTATTATCTTTTACTTATATAGTTAGAAGCTCGGTGGCATAGTGGATAAGCGCCGCGGCTCGCGATCGTTGTCGTTAAGCAACTTTCGCAAGAGTCGGTCACGGGATGGGTGACCAAAAAATTATTATCTCGAGCTACTCCGTGCTTCGGAAGGCACGTTAAGTTGTTGGTCCCGGCTGCATTTGTAGTTGTTAATACCTTCCATCCGCATTGGGCCAGCGTAGAGGGTCATGGCCCATCCTCCTTAACCATCCATAAGGAAGGCCTGAGCCCCTGCAGTGGGGACGTAAAACAGCTGAAGATGATGATGATGACTTATATAGGTACAGATTTGTACGGAACCCTCGGTGTGTGAGTCCGACTCGCTCTTTTATTTTTATCTTCATAAGCGTAAAATTTTAAACTAGAACATCGCTACATAGTAGTTATTCCATCTAGTAATTGCTTCGCTGGTGTTGATGGTTACAGCGAGTCAGTTTTACGACTGCCATTAAATTTGAAGATGCAATGATGTAATATCAAATGAAATATTAAAAATTTCAAACAACTCTGTTTCAGATGTTTGACGCAATAATAAAATGTATATCCACCTTTTTGCTTCTTACGAAATTGGTAGATTAACGAAGTGCCAGTCAACAAATTATGTAGATCAAAGTTACTATAAACTTAAATATTCACGGCTTGGGATCAAAACGAAATAAGTTTCCCAGGGGACGACAAAAAAGAAAAATTATTTTGGGAGGCGACGATGTCTGTAAACTGACCCTTATTAATAAACTAGTTTTAATTATTTTATCAATGAGTATGTCTATATTGCTTAATAATATTCTTGTTTTATTAATTACATACTCCTCGGTAGTTAGAGAGTTAGGTGGCCGGTCAGACTGCTGGAAAGATGGGAAATTTGGTCTATTGTGTCTCTATTTAAGCTTAAGTTAGGTTATAATGTTATGCATCCATCTATTTATCGATATCTCTCTCAACATCAAATTAATGATACGAATACATTTCTACGCTTACCCTATTATCGAAAGAGTTTACAAAACTAAAGAGGTTGTGGTTTTATTTAGAACATCCTGAAATTCTTGAGCACACTGATATGATTCACAAAATCTGAAGTCAGTTTTGCCTCTGAAACATCACGGCTTTCGCTCAACGGATGCGACCTAATTTTTATAAATCACCGAAGTCCCGTCCAATTACAGCGAAATAAAATAAAATCCAACGACGTCAGTTCACCGTGGTCAATTTTTGTAAAAGATTTTATTATACTTATTCATTTTTGGCTCTATTTGTTTTTTTTTTTTTTATTCATATAATTTGGCTAGAATCCCGAGCTGTTTATTATTTGTTGTTTGAGTACAATAACTGTTATTCTATTGAACAATAATAGATCACAAATTGTATATTATGGTTAATATTTACGAGTGTCTTTATTTTATATTGCAGTAATTGTACACAGCATTTATAAATACCGTATTAAAAGAAAATAAAAAAAACCGGCCTATTGGGAGTTGTACCCAAACTTTTTTTTCCAAAATTTTCTTTTATCACTTTTTCGGCGTAATTAACGTCTATACTTATTACAATTTTCTACTATCAATAGTCATTGAGCCGCGGGCGGACGGATAGACAGACGGACATAACGAAACTATAAGGGTTCCTTGTTTATTGTGGAACACTAAACACATGAGTGCCACGATCAAATTAATTATTAAAAGTAACAAGTCGTATAATGGATTGTTAGAATAATGTTCTGATTGCAGTTTCAGAGCCCATTCAATACAAACAAACAATAAAATCTTTCGTCTTTATAATATTAGTAGAGATATGCTCCAAAGGAAGATAATTAGCAATTTTCATATTACTTTGATAGCCCGTCAGGGATGCGACCGTCTAACTTTCTAGCCATAGTATATAATATTTTAGCGATGTTATTTCGCACAATGCGTCGTCTGTCGGTATCTGTTACGATTTTCTTTTACCTCATCAAAACTGACCTATGTTAACATAAGCTAAGGAACTGACATTTTTAGTGAGTTTACGTCTCTCAGTGAATGATAGCCTGTCACCGCACCGCAAAAGCGGCGTCAATTTGTCACGTCATTAGATACCTTGACCACCTGTCTTCACCATTATTAGTGTTGGGGAAACATATGTTGCCCATTACGGTTCTTTGATGTTAAAATAAACGTTTTTTTTTGTTACAGGTCGAATTCATCACGAAATGAACAAAAAGTCACATAAGAAAAAGGTTAGTATTCTTCCATAGGATCAATGCCGACTGTTGGCGTTTGTTTCTATAATGATTGCTTTTATTTATTTTCTTTTGCTGTTGACATTTAAAGTTATTTGTGGGCCCAATAAATATATTTCTTTTTGTTTCGTAAACTTCGGTCAAAATATAGTTCTAAGCTAACTAGTTAATTACTAATGCTAACTTCATTTACTTATGCGATATATGGTACCTAAAACCAAATTCATTATTCTCCAGACCGTAAGATTTTGCAACTGCAACGGCTGAACAATTCGTTGACATTTTTCTAGTAAATCAAACAAGTGGATCTTCTATACGTCACTTGTCACTATACATACCTTCTGTGCCACAGTATCAATCAATGGCAAGCGATGTGGTGCCAAGTAGCCGCCAGGGTGCCACTAATTCTTGCCATAGTTCGTCTGCCTCGTGCAAATTAATGCCAACAATTCATGCGTATACTAATACAATGTTACAAGTAGTAAGCACATATGGCTTGGCACATATATGGCACATATATTCTTTAAAAAATATTCAACAGTCTTAACTGTTATAAATATTAAACATTTTTGGTGTGCGTTTTTTAATCAGATCATTATTTCGATATACATAACTTCTAATAGCAATGTACTCCTCTTCATTTCAGAGTTTTATCTAATTAGTTTCAGGTGATTTTGCTGAGTTATGCTTAATGTAAATATTTTCTAATGAATAACCACTTAATTTTACATGATGAATTGTCGCTAAAAGAACCAATATAACATTTGCTCATTCAACATTTTACATATATTACATGTAATAAATATTGAATTGCGGAAAACCCACAAGATATTTCTCAAAATGTACTTGCATTAAATAAATTATACATACTATTCATGACTTTTTAGTACACTCTAATCTGTTTTCCACTTTCAGATATTGACATGATTCCTTTGCTGTAATAATTTTAAGGACTTCTGAGAAAAGTAACGCGGAACTAGTTTTATTTACCTGACACTACCCAAATAATTCTAAAGAGATCGAAACAGATGAAAATCAGTCATTGCAAAGTCAGGGTTATATGGCGATTGCATTAACACCTCCCAGTCAAACTCTATTTGTCCTGAAAATGTGTGGTAGAGCGTTAACGTAAGAAAGACGTCGTACACGATCAAAGTTTCATAATTAGTTATCGACCTTCTCAAAAACGGTTGTTATATTACGCGTCAATAAAGCTTCGCAAATTAGTACATACACGATCCATTAGGTATCTTTCAGTAAGTTTATGTGAAAACTACAAATAGAGCTTTTTACAAATGGATCATAACTATTTTGTTGTTAATTTTCAATTCCTCAGTTCAGATCGTAGCTATGAATGTAAGACCTTACTGAAATCCATCTTCCAAATTTTTTGTAACATTTTAACATAAGTAAACATTTTCCAATTGAAAACACTTTACAACTGTATTAGGTTCATGATATTTTTTTTGTAATATGTTTTTTCAATACATATATCTAATTTCTATAGTTATTTGGTCCACCCAAGAAATAAATGGAAAGAATAGCTGGAAATAACACATAATAACAATACAATAACAACTGTTCAAAAGAGCAGAGAAAATAAAAATCCCAAAATTACGCATTTTTATTTGAGGAGCATTTAAAGGTTCGTCTAAGTTATTTTCACTAAATCCTATAACTTGAGACTGGACTAGAATGACTACTTGCATATGACAGTTTATAGCGCCCTTGAGATTATGAAGATGATATCTCCTGTATCTATTTCTAATAGGCGGCCACTTGCGATAAAGCTGTGCGGGTATCATACACAAGAATTTCTTGCAAAGCTCACAGTTACATTTTAACGAATGCAATTTGCAATCTTGCTAAGGCAAATTAATGATAGCATTGTGAATGCAAAATTGATCAAATATAATAGCGACTTCCTGAGAAATTAGATATGTTATTTTTTTATTATGGAGGTTTTAAATTATTCTAATTCTCTTTAACTACGAAAGCTGTGTATTACTTACTAGTCTTACCTACTAATATTAAATTTACGGATCATTGTAATATAAGTAATAACAATAAAAACAACCAAATATTAATTTGGTACAGTAAATAATTACAAAAGCAATTGCATGTTAATGACTGCATTAGTCCAAGACTATGTTGCAGGTATTAGCGCCCACCTCGAACAGTTTTGAAAAGAACCTACCTATACTTATTCAAAATTTCTCTAGGAAATATCACCAATTACTATATTTTTACATTCTTTTGGAATCTTTATTGTCCCACCATAATAGATTCAGCCCAGGCCCATCTTTACCTATGGTGCAGGGGGTGCAATGCATCCGGGCACCGCGTGTTGGGGGACACCGCGCCGATGATAGTCTAATCTTACACTACCTACTCATCGATGACTTCGATAATGCGGCCTAAGTTGTAATTTTATTTCAATAATTTTTACATTTTTCGACCGCGGAACGCTGAACAACGAGTCTTTTGAAACAGCCGCCGCCGTCTCACCACCAAACTTTTTTTTATATAAATATGTGAAAAAAACTGGATATAAAAAAATGTTCATTCCTACGACGTGACAGTACATTGACGTAGAGCCGAGTCACTAATTTGCCTACGAGACGTGAACACATGCGCGGGATAGATGCCAGGGGGATCGCTATCACGTCCGTTGATAGGCAGCCCAATTAACAGCAAACCAACACACAATTGTTTATAAAATTTGTGTGAGTGTGAGTATATCCGGTCTAGGAAAATATTTAGGTTGGTTGACATAAACAACTATAGTTGAAAAAGAAAATAATTGGGTGAACACTGCTCTACGGTCGATTAGTGAAATGCGAACCGATTTAATTAATAAGAATAAGAAACACAAAACTTGATTCAATAATACTTTAATACTATACAACCTAAGTATAAAGAACAAAAGAATTTGTTATTGTGCCAATGATGACACAAAAAAATTATTAGAATTAATTTATTAGTTCACAGATTTGCTTAAAACAGATTTAAATTTCCAGTTATACGACTTTCAATAAATCTTGACAACATAATTTTTCAATATGTTTTCGACCTCTTTTAAGATAGAAATATCAGGCATACAGCCAGTTGCACAAACGTCCATTAAAAATGTCATTAGTTTAAAGCGACATTACCCATACAAATTTGATATTCATTAGAGCTTAAAGGCGTCATTAAACCTTAATGGATATCTGTGCAACTGACCGATTAACTTATTTAAATAGAAAATTTGTGAATAATTTCCTGTTTACACCAAAATTTGAGTCATTTTCAAATCAGTCGTCACAAATATCACGTACTACAAAAACTGGCTTGTCTTCTCAATTGTATCTGCGTGTTAAAAATCATTTGAATGTTGCAAAGTAAATGGTTACTGTCTCTCACCTCCCACGGGGCGTGGACGTGCTGAAGACCTGTCATTGTACATCTACCGTTAAATACTCGAGGAAAGACAAATCGTTAATAAAATTAGCCATTCGTTTTCGGAGGGGTGATTTTAAATTGTTCATTTACTTTCAAATTGCCAAAATTGCTTTACCTCATTTATATTTAACCTACATGATATAGGTATAATTTTTCATTAAAATTAAGATAATAATAGTTAAATAATGATTAATGATGAATCCATTCTCAACATCTTAAGTCGTTATACTTTATTTTATTTGATAATTTTTTGCATTCACAATGCTATACTGGAAAATATTTTTAATGAAAAAAAAATTACAAATAATATACCAACCAAACCAAGTATTTAATCGCGCTAAGTCCAATAAAGTTTATCAGAACGTTTATAACAGTCATAAATATTTTCCTCTTCGTGAAAACTCACAAAATCAAACAGTCTTCGATTTTATGTGATACCGGAAAACACGTTTCATTCGTTTTAAATATATTGCTAACAATAATTTATCGATGAGAAAATGAATAGCTTTACTGAACGAATCGTTCCTTACTAAACTAAAAATGTTAGAAAAAGTTTCACTTCCCTGTTTTATACTTTGATTAAAAATTTATGATAAGATGCAACCAGTAAAATTGAAAGTGACACCCGTATATGAATGATTAAATGATAACTAGAAATGGTTCATTATCCTATTGCATTATCCTATTTCGAAATTCGAATTAGGTACATAGACATTGTCACACCATACTATAATGATGAATAGGGATCAATCGAAAGCAAACGTTTTTCAATGGTAGCCTATATAAAATTGCGATTTGAACGTGATCCAATGATGTCGATGTAATAATATCACTAGATCTTTTGTTCAGCTTATTTTAAAAGACAGTTAACAGTCGACTGCCAAGAAACACAGAGAATAATAACAAATTATAAGCGGTGGCGTAACGACACGAGGTTAAAAATAAACATTTCTAAATGTGGCATCGTTATTATCCTTTTTGTTGCTGGGAGAAATAGCACTTTAAATTTTTTAATTATTCACTAAGAGTAACCGGCAAAACAGCTCTAGAAAGTTGTTTGAAAACATTGATTAATAGTCATGTAAAGATTAAAACGCTCCACTTCAAAAGATATTGCCGTGAGCGACAATCCAAACATAATAAATAAATCACAGAAACCAGGAAAAAGTAATATTGAGATTTGATAGTATTCAATATTTGGTAAATGTTCTGTGTGAACTAAGATGCGCTTGAAAATGGAAGTTTATTTTTATTCGATACTTCGGCAATAATGTTATACTATTAATCTCCCAATTTGACGTTACAAGTAGTTAAGATTAGAGATATAACGTCGAGTGCTAATTTAAAAACATTTGCCGGCCATTCTTAAGGGCATGAGTTCATGAGCATGATCTTCATTGGGGTTCCGCACACCATTCGTGTTATTGATGGCCGCCAGCTTATCGAATCAATAGAGCTTAAAATTGATCCCGAAAACAGTTTTGAGTGTGGTAGGTAACATATCTATCGAAATTCATGGTCATCTATATCATTGGCAGTGTTATGAAATAGATTATTACATCGAGCCATTGGCACGGCGGTCAAGTGGTGAACAGAAATATACCTAGACAACGCCTACCATCGAGAAATTCATTCATAATATTATACGTCACCTCAGTACAGGTTTCCCGGTGGATCGGAAGACGCCTTTTGGCAGTTCATAAAAAAAGTCTAACGTTTCTATTTTTCCTCAAAACGACGGATGTTCTGTCGTTTATTCTGTGTAAGCTTTATGTTTGACTTTTATCGCGTTTATCATCCGTGGCAATTTTGTGTTATTTATTGCTGGAGAAATTTAATGTGGAGTGGTGTTTTTGTAATTTGGGAATGATATATTTTGTTTAAAGCAAAAGAAGCGGGGAAAGGGAGATGGCGGGAAGAACAAGGAGAACATAGAAGAGGAGAGGGAGGTCCAAGACTCAACAGATGATACGGCTGTAACGGTGTCGAAGACAGAAAAACTCTGCTATGAAGTGAAGCATTCAGAAGTCATGGGGAGGTAAGATCACTTTTTATAATGAAAATCTTAAAGATGTAGTTTCATATATCAAGTATACTAATTGTCTCTATGGTCTATAACATACTGAACTTGATAGCGATACATCGCTCCCAGTCGGTTCAAGTAGAAAGATACTAGGAATGTTTCTACTTGAACTGATGTCTGAATCACACAAATTATATAAAGTATCAAATATATTTTGCAGTAAATAATGCTAAGTTTACCAATGCTACAATTTTACTGAATATTAGGATAAAAATATCTAAACAAAGCACACGTATACCTCAGTATTATTTTTCTGCAGAAATAGATTGTTTTAAATTTTATGAGGCAGTAAAGACTTAATAAAAGTCTCGTGTACAACTTCTGGCTGGTCTTCCCATCATAGATTTTTCATTCGGTTAACATAAAGAATGATAATGTTGAATATTTATACTGATTTATACAAGGAAAAACGTCAATGTCAACGTCAAAAATATCATGCACATCGATGACGTATTATTATATGTATATTTCAAATGGTTACCGTAGTGATGTAACCATTTCAAATATCTACTGAGATTATAATATATATACCTATATATAAGGAAATTATAATATATGCGGTTAACTATGCAGATAAACATTGATCATGTCTCTGTCTGCTTTAAAAAATCAATATGCATTCGTAATATGTTCTTTTCATACTGACATACGAACTTCAAACCAATATTATTCGTAGATATTATTTTCAAATAATAATCAAGGTATTAAGCCTTGTTCATCAATAAATGTAAAAAAATAAGAAATTGTTTCTTGTTCAGTTTTACGATAAACACATTTAGGTAGTTTTTTCTACAGATCTACACCTCGTAATAGTAAAAAAAAAAAACTGTAAAAAGCGCTGGTTGCTTGTGGTCCTGCGCAAATTCTATAAGCGATTAACGAAAAACAAGTACCTATGTTACTTCATTGGTCAAATGAATTGAATTTGTTAGGAAACCTTATCATTAAATTATCTTATATTATGCAGCAAGAAATATTTTATTTCTTTTTATATATATCAATTGTCTTTGTAGATACCTAGTTGCGTCACGCGACATCCGAGCTGGTGAAACCATCATCCAGGAACCGGCTCTAGCGGTGGGTCCCTGCAGCGGCTGTTGCCTTGTCTGTCTCGGTTGCTACAGAGAATTGGACGAGTCATCTCTAACCAAGTAAATAGTGAACATTAAGCTAGTAACAGACGGATAAGATGTTCTGGATAATATAACATCTAAAGATAATATATTTAACATCTTAAGCTATCACATACGGTTAAGACACGAAAATATTTTGAAACTCTTTATAAATATGTTTCCGCATCTTAAGACAACCTTTTTTATAACGCAGGGAAAGTGCACCTTATGGTTTAAACCAGGGCTCTCCTTCCACCCTGCCATGAAATGGGCAGGTTAGTGTTTAAGGCGTAGGTAGGCCCCGTAGGTAGTGTAGCGCCTGAAGTAGAAACAGGTTAATATATGGTAAAACCCGCTGCGGTTCACCTTAAGCGAATATGAAGAACCCGCTATCCTGCAAGGAAGGCCCGGTTATCTTAAGATAACCTACGAAATATATTTTTCGTATCTTAAGATACTATCTTAACCTACGAAATATACATTTCCGTATATTTTGGCATCTTAATATACTCAGTTAGAAACTTCATTATCTTAGCCGCGTATGTTGGATCATTGGATTGTATGGTGAGCGATATTTTATCTTAAGATAGGTATCTTAATATACCTAGTATTTTCAGCGTCTGTTACGAGCTTTATTGAACCATTGAACTAAATTCGTCTTGCTCCTCCTAGTTATATGAGTACTAAAATTAACTTCGGATTCACAAAGAAGTCCTTCGGCGACTTCGTTAGAATAATTTGAATATTATGATACTGGCAATATTAAAAAATGCGCAATTCGCGTATAGCACAACTCCATAAAATCTTGGCTTTTTATTGCAAATCATTTAAATTCAAAATTTTCCATAGAACGAAATATGTTATTGAATGTCACATCTATTATCCGCTTCCATATCTGCTCAAGGGCAGCCGTTTCCAAATATATTGTTTCGTAGGGCTGCATCACGAATTCCAAAGCATACGGTATTCCATAAATCTGAAATTTGTTACTATACTATTAATGATAAAACGTGTGGGGTTTTTAAAATAATCGGGGTGTACATGTAACCGCTGCTTTAAATTTTAGTTATATCTGAATCACTTACACCCACCACGAATAGGTAGGTACAATCTGTCACGCAGGCTAAATGTAACTGACCATTAAGGGGATTACTGTCAAAAGGTACGTAATACACGATTTTTTAAAAAATGTTTTGTATAGGATAAAGACTAAGAATTGTAATCAAATAATTCTAAGTATTTTTTCAGTGGCCCGCTGTAATCTTCAATTACATCAATGTAGTCGAAGAAAAAAAAAAATATATTTACAAAATATATAATTTTTGTTCAGAATCATAGTTCACTTAAACTCAGTTGTGTTAAATTTCTAAAAAATAGGTTTTTAATTTTTATACGAATTCTTTTATTAATTAAGGTGAACTCGTGAATACCAAAAAGTTTATGTTGTGTTTTCTTTTACAATTCTTTTTGTTAGTATTTTTTATTCCTATATATAATCAAGGAAATAATTATTTACTATGAATATTCAGGAAAAACCGACTAAAAACTCTATAAAAGACTAAAAACTGTATAGATTTAAAGTACGACTCAAAGATTTACGCTTGTTACGAAGTTGTTGCGTTATCAAACATAAAATCAAATCCATTCTTCTGAAAATAAGTCTAGTTTAAAAACATTGAAGGGCAATGTACATACCGTTGAAGCGTAGTCCACGCTGGTGCCGCTCACTTTACCGTACCAGTTGTAAAGGGTGTCCACGGCTACGGACATTACATGAAAGCTAGCGTTCTTCATGGCTTCATCTATTTCTCCCCTCAAATCGATATATTTGTCGTCGTCACTCTGAACGTCCGTGTATCCCTTTGGATACAACACAGCATGACCCTGTTATTGACATTATTAGATTATGCTCATTTGACGCGGGTAGAAAGAATAAATAAAAAATCTATTAAGAAACGCCGAGCGTTCCGCACAAATATGAAATTCTAAAAACCATATATTTTTTATAAGTTTTCCTGTAATCGAACTGTACCTGTATGGAACTATTTTATGTAGTAATTTTTAACAGATTTATAAATCGAAAAGGAGGAGCACTTAGATTCGACAGGTATTTGTTTTTGTATATGTTATTTTTTTAATTGGAAGCTTTATCAAAATTATATTTTTTTAACACTTAATTTATCATCGAAATGGTATATATGGTACATTTTCAAATATTAAAACTATTTATTTAAGCTATGTCTTAACTATACTAAATAAAAAATATCCTCCAGATCATTACCAACAGGTATGGTGCCCAGAAGGCTGCGAACGTTTCCTCTTTGAACAGCCAAACAAATTCTTTGGGCGACATACAAACCAACCTTTTGATCACCAGACCGGTCAAAAAGTTTCTTTTTTAACTCTCGACAAAAACGATGAACTCCGGAGCCCCACGGACCCAATTGTGAAAATTATTTGATTATTAATTTTTAGGTAACGATCAGCAACCGACTTAAATTTTATTACTTTTTGTTCAGTGAAAAGGATTCTTTACAAATAGTTTTGATTCCTGGAGCTAGGGCATTCAATTTGGAAATTATAGTATCCTTTATTGTGCTGGGAATATAGATCTCGCATCAAAATTTTCGATTACATATTTAAGATCTGAAAAAACTTATTCGGCATATTGCCATACATCGAAAAACTTTAAAAGATATACTTGACATTCTGAGAATAAGCCCTTTTATTTGAATGTTCCACAGTACAATTTGCGATACTTCTTTGTTATTTTTTTTAATTTAAAAAAGGATGGACTTTCATTTTTATATTTCTGGACTGTATTGGTAGGACATGGATCCGTTTGTTATACTTTATTTTTACATGTGATGACATGTCACAAAGTGTGTTCCAATTTTTTTAGTCATTAGCTCCAAGTACCTATGTACCCAGACTAGGTTTAGAAAAATAAGATAATGTTATTACCTATTATAAAATTCATAGAAGTTCTCTATACCTTAAAAATTTCGTGGTTGTAAGATCCAGCGTGGACATGAATATAGGCCAAGAGCTTATGACTATAACGATGTAAAACGTCTCTGATGGCTCTTGATTCGGGTTCCGAGAACGGCCTAGGTCCTGGGTATTGTGGACTGCAGGAGCTGATCGACGTCGAGTCGTTCCAAGCTACGTCGAAGTTTCTGTCTAAGGCAACGCCAGAACAAGCTGACTGTGGTGACATGTTCTTGTTGGCATATACGTTCACAAAAGTCTGCGAAATAAACAAATTCACTTTCATAATAGAGGCTATAGTTAAAACAAACCAAATGCTTAATCTACTCTCAGACCTCTCCTTAGACCAATTCCATTTTAGACAAGTTTCGGTCTTAAGAGAATTTGAAGGGAAAGACATGGGTATTTAAAAAAAAATTAGGTACTATGGTAGAGGTACCTATTGCGATATACCGTTCAATGCCAGTAAGCTTCTGAAAAATATTGCAAGTTACATCTCATGTATTATGTCTTTTTTGGTGAAAACAAAGCTCAAATAAATATACTTGTTTTAAAGTCGTGCCTTAACATGTGGAGTTGAATTTAGGCCGCATATTTTAAGTATTACCTATGTAGTATAATATCGGCCCCATATGTAAAAATATGAATTGCTATAGCTTTTTGCTTTTTCTTTCTAGATAATAAATATTTACAAACATAAAACTTTGAAACCCTTAACCATTAATTTGAATTAAGAGAATAGACTTGTGAAAACACGGGATTGGGTGAAGACAAACAAAAAAAAATCTTTAACTTGTTGTTAAAACAAGGGTTCTCACAATTACTTTGGCGCTTTAGGTCCAATATCGTAGAGGCTTATAATTTGCTTGTAAGTAGGTATGCTTTCTCTCAAAATCATTAAATAGTGAACTTAAAAAAGTAATGGTTAGCGCGTTCGGCTTGCGATACGGTAGCAAGGATGGGTGACCGAAAGTTTATTATACTGAACTCCTCCATGCTTCAGAAGATACTCGCCTTTGGCCTTGGTTGCATCTGCAGCCGTTAACACCTACTTATCCGCACTGCGCCCGCGTAGTGTGGCCCATCCTATTCCATCTATACAGACCATATAAACCTGTGCCCTAGCAGTATGGATATTAATAAGCTGATGATAATTAAAAAACAACACTAAATTATTAGCTACTTTTCCACTATCTTTTAAAGTGTCCTAGTATAAACTGTATAAACTGCTTTGGAATACACTGTTACTGTAACAAACTTTAGAATACAATACACGGCGCTAAATATCTACCTATAACATAAAAGTATTACTCGGTTTTTATTAATCTATTTTTTTATTTTATTAAAGATACACGCTTACTTGCATAAAGCCATCAGGATTGGCCATCGGTATTAGAAATATGTCAAACTTGTCCAAATGTACAAAATAATATGACAACAGTTTCTTAAACTGAGTGATATTCTTTAAGCATGAATCATCCTTTAATCCCATCACGCTGAGCGCATGTACAATAAATACTATCTTTTTTTCTGGTACATCATCGGCATATTTATTATCGTCGGCTCTGAAATGCCTCTCAAAATCACTCTTTTTTTCAGTGATCTTCATTAGAACAATGTCATTATACTCCATGGTACGATCTAGAACTTCTACTGTTATATTGGCATCACTACATGTTTGTGAGAACTTCTCTAGTTGTTCTTTTAACTGAAAAATCAAACGTTTCGTACATAGCTATATGTAGTTTTCGCACTATAAGTTAACAAACACCTAACCTTACAAACTTGCGCCTTTACAATATTAGTAAAAAAAAAGTTAAGTCCTCAAAAATCCTTTTTTTTTTCGGAATAAGACCGATTCATCGAGTCATATTGGTATCTGTTGAAAATAAAAAATCTAAATGTCAATTTTCAAGACTTTAAAATATATCATTTTCCTGTAAGTGACCCAATATCCCGTTTTAACTAACCTAGAACAAGGCATAGCTTAACTACAAATTATTGAATATTAATAACAGCATAGGCAGATATGTCGTTTCACCAAATCTGTAACGTTAGGTAATGCCTTACTAAGCACTTGCAATGTTTGTCTATAATTTGGCATGTTTCAGTTATATAAAACGTCTGGAAATTAATTAAAACTTATTTTTATATCTTAATTCAAATATATAAACTCCTTGATTCCAACTTACTAAACTGATTTAATCCCTTGACACATCTGTTATGCCCAAAAAGTAAATGTATATCTGATACATTACGCAAATGCCCAGCGTAAGGTGCCGCACATTGCTGGTCCTAATTTTAAAGTTGCTTAATGTCGTTAGGTGGTTCCTTGTCAATGGTGAAATGCATTTTCATCTTAGAAAATACCCAAATATTTAGGTGTCAGATTTGGGCGACTCCTAAGTTTAGTAAAAACGGGCAACGCTCATAGCCTAATGTGTTAACCAAGTAATTACTTTAAAATATGTCATAAGTTAAGCACATATTTTTAACCAATAGACGACAATTTCAATGAAATAAGAACGCTAATAATAAGAAGAATAATAGCTAATGATAATAGTTCTCTAACTTGTAATAGTTCTTACTTCATTCACATAGTTGTATATTTGGTAAAAATATATGCTTAAGTAACATATGACTCATTGAACTATATACTTATCTATAGTCGAGACAAGTAACTAGTCGTAGAGTATGGGAGTATGATTACATTTATATAGGTACATACGCATGTTGTCATGATTAAGGTTTAAATAATGTTCACGAAACAGATAAAATAGAATGTACGTAGATATGTTTAACCAAGACTAGTCAGAGACCTATTACACATATTTAACAAAAATATTGGAAGAGGCTTACACCACCCTCGGCAGTCGTTAACTTACACACTTTTTATATAGTACTTTTTATATTTAAAAATACTAGATAGGTATACCTATAGTACTACATTTGATACTTATATATAGAATAGTGATAAAAAAGAATAAAGAAAAAATAAATATTCCTAGATAAGTTGGCAAAAGAATGATGACACGGTCTGTTACTAACTAATCTAGATTAATTACAATAACGTATACAAGATATAAGAAAGACTCATCATATTTGAAAAATGCTTTTCCTAGTTGTAACTGCTATTTTAACTCGATAAAAGATATAATCTATGAATATTAGGTAGATTAATAGACCGAAGAGACGACAGCAAGACACAAACATTTTATTAACATTTTCAATGCTTAGATTCGTTGGTAAGAGTAGCTACTTGTATTTACAATATACTTACAATATAAGACCTTAAAGTCTCATCTTCCTCTTCATGAACTTGAGCCCTAGAATGAGATTTGTGTAATTAAATTTCTTTTAACAAATACCTATTTATTATATATTTGATCAATTTTGCATTCAAAATACTGACTGAAAAATATTCCTAATGAAAAATGCTTAAAAAATGTAGGTCCTGGATAGCTCAGTGGTTAAAGCAGTCGCCCGGATTGTGAAAGGTCGTGGGTTCGAGTCTCATCTCAGAGTGCCAAGGACAAAGTGGATTTTTTAAAACTTAGCTATTTATTTATAATAAGATGATGGTAGCAATTAAATTATACAGGCTAGACTAAATAATGTAGACCTGTTAAACTGCGTTTTTAAAAGTTATTCACATTTAAAATAAAAAATTGAACCGTTTCCAAACTTAAAAAAGTGAAAAATAATACTTATCTCAAATTTTTTAAAGGTTTTATTTCATGCTTATTAGTGATATTGATTTTATTAGTGAGATTATTTTATATGATAGGCAACACTAAAAATACTTTTCTGAAAACCGCGTCAAAATCGGGTGAGCCAAACGTGAGATAGATGATAGCTGTGTGCATACACTCGATCATTTTGTTTATTGTAGTGCTCCTCGAATGTAAAAAATGTTTCATCGGTAAAGAGAATTTTTCTGCGTTTTTCGTCCGCGTATCGAAGTAACATCTGTTTTGATATTTCGACTCTCTTTTGTTTTAGTGCCTGATTTAAGGTATGTCCTGTGTATTTTCGGTAAACCCCTAGACCTAAGTCTTGTTTGATAATCCGAGAAAGTGTCCTCAGTGGGAGTCTCATTTCTCTGGAAAGGATTTTCTGCTTCCTCATGGGATTTTCCATTTTCAAAACAAATAATTTCTGAACAAAAAACATACAATAATGGCGGGAAAGAAGTCTATTTTTTTATCGTAGAAGCTTCGCTATCATTCGAAATTCGAATAAATGTTTTTTGTAAACAGCCAATTACAGAATTTATGGCTAGACTAGATATTTGCGTATGTCAGCTATTGAGCGTTATTACACGCCCGTGCTTGATAAGCTTAGGGTGGCCCGTCCATATTAGCAGGATCAAGTGTTTTGCCTAGGGCACCAAGTTCCAACATTTTGCCTACAACGCCAAGCTCAAGTGTTTAGCCTAGGGCGCCAAATTTTGCCTTTTGCCTGAGACGCCAAGTTTCATTGAGCCGGCGCTGAATAAGTTCGCATAAAGTATAACAGTAAAAAACAGCAAGTGTAGGCACACCAGCGACATGAGTTCTTCTACAAAAGATAGATGATCGTCATTCAAAGCTCTTATTGACATCATTATTAATCAAATACAATGACTTTACCTTCATTAAATACTCACTTTTCCTCTGAATTTTGAACAAGAGGCATCATGTCCGGTACCGTCATCCTTGTTGAACTAGAACACATTAGTATATGAGGGTTTACTAAAAATTATGGAAACTTTTTGGACCTAACGAAGCTACTGAACACAGATTTCTTTAATAGAATTACTTACATATCAGTTTTTGTCACTGAATAAAATGATACATACAGTGTCACATCGTCATCAGCATATTTATATATATATATATTTATATGTTGACTATTTTATTACAAAATAAAAAGTACTCTTACCGAAGGGCGTAATTTTTTCTGTGTTTCTTATGAACTCTTGGCCATAAATTGTTGTCAATACCAGTACGAAGAGCTTTTTTATGTTTGAAAGTATTTTGAGGTCCTATTGTTGGAAAATGTCTTGCCGTATGATTTATATATGATGATTCCGTCGTGTTTGTAGTATTCAGATGAAAATGTCTGTTTAAAGAATGAACATTCATACTAACATTATTAAAGTTTTTTAATATCCTTTATTGTAGGTAATATTAGTATTAGTTTATCATTTAATAGATTTTAAATTTAATTTAGGGGATTATTATCTTTGAATCTTTATTTTTATGAGACGTTATCTTGTACGTCATCTATTGTACTATTTATTATTATTGTTCGAGACGCGGTGGAGTGACAACGTGTAATCGGAGTGTGGATGGAACAAGAAGTTTTATTACACAATTAAGGTTTTAAACATCTAAACTTACGAAACAAAGATCTTGCTGCCAAAGTATCATTTACCTGTTATTTTTTTGTTTTGCAAATTTGATATAATGAAAATTTTGTTTTCCCGAATCCAGTAGATTTCTCCTGAATCCATCCATTTCAGGATCTCTAACCCTGGAAATTTTCCACAACGTGAGAAAAATTGGAACACTTAACTTTAATCGGGGAAATACTTTCACTACCTACAGTCTAGGATATTATAATTATTAAGAAGGGAGATTTATATGAGTATGAGTAAACCACTAAATCAACATGAAAATCAAAATAATTATAATGGTAAACGTTGTTTCTTACTTACTTTAGGACAATGATAAGATTGGTAGCATTATTTTCTTTAATATACATTCTAATATCTAATAAATTGTTTGGAAAATATTTTTAGATTATCATCAGTATGCCATATAATGGCAGGATTGTTGCGAGTGGTAAAGGAACTATTTACTATATAATATGTTATTAAATACCAAATTGATTGTGTACAACAGTCCAAACAATTAGGGATACTATCTGAGTAGAAGTAGTATTTATATTTAGTTAATCATCAAATAATAGAAATATTTAGATACGTATTTTTTTTTGCTAAAAGTTAACAAGTAATGACTTACATAACAGGCATAAAAGTTGGGGCTCACTACATAAAAACTATGGAACATGGAAGAGAAGTACAACTGCTGTGTTTAACGTCAATAATAATTTATTTTACGAACTAAATACTTCGGACTTTCAATAGAAAATAAGATGGAAAAAGTACTACAGAAAAAGATCTTACCAAAAATCTAATTTATCGTTGTCGCTCTTTACTGAAAAAGTAAAGGAAAAAGATGAGTTTAAAGCCAGCACCTGACGTACGTACGCACTTCAGTGAACACTGCTTTGTTCTAATTTATACTAATAATAAATCCGAAGAGTTTGTTTGTTTAATTGAACCCTAAAATCGCAGGAACTCCTGGAACGAATTGAACTGAATTATTGTTTTTGTGTCGAATAGTTCCCTTATCGCGGAAGGCTATATAACATTAAGCTATGACTAGGGATGGAGCAGCAATGAAACATGTTACAAAAACGGGAGAATATTTGACTTTTTTAAAAGATTCCATGCGTGCGCTGCATAAACGATGAAAGTTACGCAAAAATCATGTATAACGAAATTGATCCTCTTTAAAATTCCTGAAAAAAGTCCGCGGCAACATAAGTCTATCTTAAATCTTATCCCGAAAAAAGCACATAAAGGATGAAAATGGGAGTAGAAGTTCATATAGGGCATTAAATCGTTACCATAGTAACCGTTGTTAACAATTCAATTTATCATTGTAATTACATTCCATGACATCCTTTTCCAAACCCATTATTAAATGATTTTTGCTGTTTACGCCGTATTAAATAATTTTAATTTTTTATTTATTTTTTTCATGTGTGTATTTTGATATGTATGTAGTCTTTATTTTTCCAGTTTTTATCAAACACAGTAGTTTTCGTTTTTAATTTAGAGGTTTTTCCGTGTGGTGGTAACAGAAAAAAATCATGTTTGTTGTATGGGAGACCCCTTAAATATTTATTTTATTCTATTGTTGTTGAAGAGGCAACAGAAGTACATCATCTGTGAAAAAAATCAACTATCTAATTTTCACGGGCGATGTGATAAAGTCTGGTGACAGAAAACCAACAGCCAAGTCTTAGTAATAGGGTTGTCGTTTTACCCTTTGAGTACGGAATCCTAAAAATTAAAGATGCTGCCGAAAGTCACTATTCAACGCGGACAGCTAGTAAAATATAATCGTACAAATATGTAACAAAGTATAAAAAACTGTGCTACAGTGTTATGTGAACACTTACATATCAAATAAGTGCGTACGTGTCTGGCGTCATGGAAAATAGATACTATGATAAACTGTAATATCAATTTTATTATTACAAAGTTATCCATACTAATATTATGCGAAAGTAACTATCATTGTGTCTGTTAGGTTTTCACGTCTAAACCACTGAACTAATTATATTTGGTTTTAATTTGGTACACCGATATGTAGAGTGGACATTGGCATGGACATATTGAATAAGAACAAAATAATGTTTAATGGAAAACGAAAGACGTGGGGAAGCCTAAGACCAATTGTATTATATTCATTTAAATTCAAATAAATACCGAATACTTTTTCACTGCAGAGAACACACATTGTAAACAAAATCAATCCGATCATTTTATTTGTTCGTAAAACACGCCTGAGCTTATTATGGCGTCGATATACATAAAGTAGTTATTTTATTGCAAAATATCAATATATTTTATAGTTGATAAAATTCGCACTGAACAATATGCAACAACTAAATTTTACATGATTTCGAGTCTATTGTTTATGTTTTATTATAGTATACTTATTATAGGAGTAGCTCGGTGGCGTAGTGGATAAGCGCCACGGCCCGCGATCGTAGTCGTAAAGCAACTTTCGCAAGTGACCGAAAAATTATTGTCTCGAGCTACTCCGTGCTTCGGAAGCCACGTTAAGCCGTTGGTCCCGGCTGCATTTGCAATCGTCAATATCCTCCAATCCGCATTGGGCCAGCGTGGAGGGTCATGGACCATCCTCCTTAACCATCCATAAGGAAGGCCTGAGCCCCTGCAGTGGGGACGTAAAAGGGCTGGTGTGGTGGATAGTATACTTACCTACTTAATAAAAATACAATGATTTTGTTTATTATCATACTGGCTGTGTCAGCCCTACCAGAATAGGTAAAAAAACTGCACTATTTTTTAATTGTGCCCTTGTCTGTGTCTTTAACCCTACATAACTATTCTACTATATGAGAAGATCAGACAAATAGCTGAAATGTAATTTAAATGGGAATAAATATTTTATTTAAGGACCCTATTATATTTCGACGGTGTCTAAAAAAATACGTCGCGTTGCGATAAGTATATTAAATTGTTAGTTTTGGAGCGGTCCCCCAACGCGACGTTTTTTTATAATTACTTATACATAATTAGGTACTTTAAGATTGAGTTTCTTTTATTATTTTATAAATACATACTTATTATAAAGTAGATTCTTGTCGAACATTTATAATTTATATTTAAGGTAAAGATTACATTTAAGGTCGAGCTTGTTGGCTTTATTTACTTATTAATTACTAGGTTTTATTTCTATAAGAGGCCGTCCATTAATCACGTGATATTTTTTCAAAATTTTTTGACCACCCTTCTAAATCACGTGTATTAAAAAAAACAAATATCTTAATTATTGACGTCGCTTTTCGGTTTAATAATCGCGCGTCGGTAAAAAAATAAATACACGTGATATATTACCTCCCCTCCCCCCGCCCCTTTCAAGCCTCACGTGATTAACGTGATTGTTACTTAATGTTTGTATAAGTCTTCGATATAATAATTTTCTCATCAAACATGTGTAAGATCACTCGCACATAAGTCATCTTTAATAAAAAAAGAAACTAAAATGAAATCGCTTTACCCGTTCGGGAGCTATGATGTCACAGACAGAAAGACACACACACGATACATCAAACTTATAACACCCCTCTTTTTGCGTCGGGGGTTAAAAAAACAATAAATGTAACTGTAAAAATTACTACAAAATGTCATCTCTTAATAATAATAATAACAATAATAATAATAATAACTTTATTTCCAATAACATGACAATATTCTTTGAGCCCTGTCTCCCATACTAGTTTGAACTGTATAATGGGAGCCAGTGCCTTCCTAATTACTGTTACAATTCAATATTGGAGGTGGTCTACCAGAATAATAAATACAGAAGGTTATTATTAACATAAGTTAGCCAAAATGTTTTACCAAAACCAAGAATTATTTGAAACAAGTGTCATATACATATCAAACACCTACGAGCCAAAAAAACAAAAAAAAAAATAATAAAATATAATAGTACTATTTAGTTTATATTCTTCCTCATCATTCAATTATTTCATTGCTACAACAAATTTAAAATAAGTTTCTCACACATATCATAATCCATCGTGTTTAACCATTCTTTTAACATTGTTTTTATTTTATAGTTGGACGTTGTGACTATATTTGGCATATTATTGATTATTGCATTATAAAAACGTGGTGCAAGACTGTTAAAGTTTCTTTTAGCAAATGAACTTTTAACCGTTTGAATAGGGAATTTGATCTTTCGTCTATGACCTCTTGGTGCAAGGTTAATTTTCGGAGCAACCGATCTCTGATATAAACGTAAGCAATTGTATATGAACATTTTACGAACCGATAGTACATCGGCGTGCTCATACACCATTTTTGTAGGATAACGATAAGGAAGTGACAACATCACCTTTATGACGGCTCTTTGTGCTCTTTCTAGTTCAATTAAATGGTTTTTGGCTGCGCCACCCCAAGAACATATGCAATATTCTATAAGACACTGACAGAGAGCTTTATAGGTTTGTATTAGTAGATCTTTATTAGCAACATTCCTCAGATTTCTAAAAATAAAAATAAGTTTTCTGATTTTCTTTGACACGTAAGTTATATGTGCATTCCATCTCAAATGTTCGTCGACTATCACCCCAAGATACTTAATATTATCAACTTGTTTCAGAAAGGGGCAGCTACATTGTAATTTAAAGTCAGTTTGTTTATTACAGGGAAATATGTGAAGTGCAATGTTATAATTTGTAACTGGTCTGGATACATTTGTTTTAGTAAAACACATGTATTTTGTTTTTTCCGTATTGAGGGTCAGCAGACTGCTTTCTAGCCAGGAAGTAATTCTGCTCAAACCTGCTTCTGTTTTAGTCTTTAAGTTTTCCCAATTTGTAGCTTTAAAAAGTATGACAGTATCATCTGCAAACATAAAGAGCTCCATATCACCAAATTTCATTGTGCAGAGATTATTAATATAGGCCAGAAATAGGGTGGGGCCAAGTGTACTCCCTTGCGGGACTCCATACGAGCAATAAGCAGTATCACTGACGTTGTTATCTACACGAACTCTTTGATTTCTTCCTGAAAGATAACTTTCAAACCATTTAAGTTGTATACCTCTGATCCCCAAACTTTCAAGTCGTGCAAGAAGTACCGGTATACTAACGGTATCAAATGCTTTTTGCAGGTCTAAAAATACTCCTATGCATTTAGATCCACTGTCTAGATAAGAGCAGATCTTGTTAGTTAGATCCAGTACTGCATCGCTAGTAGATCTTTTAGCACGAAAACCATATTGATTTGAAGCTAGAAGTTTGTTGTTCTCTAAATATTTTATCAAGCGCTTGTTCACAATGTTTTCAACGATCTTAGATATAGAAGAGAGAAGTGAAATTGGTCTGTAGTTAGAGGGAACAGATTTGTCACCTGACTTATGTATGGGACTAACGATAGCCTGCTTTAAACATTCTGGAAATACTCCTGTATCCAAACTAAGATTACATAAAAAGGCTATTGGTTCAGATATAACGTTCTTTAATCTTTTGACAGAATATGTTGAAATAAGGTCACCCCCGGAAGCACAGTCTGGTCGAAAACCGTCAATCACTCGCCTAACCTCATCTGAATCAGTTGGCAAAAAAGACATCGAGTAACACGGGCCTTTTGTTCGTGCTAATTTCGCTAAGTCTGAGTCTGATTTATTAATCCTGTTTAATATGGTTTCCGCTAACTTGCTTCCCACTGTTGTAAAGTAATCATTCACAGCATTCAATGATTTTTTAGGGGTATCAGATATATTTAGTAACTCGGCAGCAGTTGTTTGACTTTGGTTTATGTGACACACTTCTTTTATTAGTTTCCAAGTATTTTTTGCGTTACCATGGTTGAGTTTTAACTTTTCTTGATAGTACTGTTTTCTTAGCGCTTTAATAATATTGTTGCATGTATATATTTTGTATATTCTATTTTTAACTGTGAGTCGTTTAATGATTTTTTAAGGTTTTTATGAAGTTTATCCCTTTTTCTAATAGCTTTTATAACACCGGGTGTAATCCACGGTTTCAGTGGTCTATTTCTATTTGATATTTTTATAGTTTTACTATTATTTTTTATTGTATCATGAAGCTTTTCAATAAAATAACTTGTTGCTAAATTGATATCTTTAAAATTAAATAATGCTGTCCAACTATCTTGTTTAATGCGTTTTATTATTTTGTCATAGTCTACTATGCTTTTTTGGATGCACTTATTTTTATTTTTGTTATTGATACTGTCACAACTCATCTGTAAGACTACTGGACAGTGGTCAGTAAACTGATCTAGTACATAGGTTTTAGCTAAATTTGTACTCTTCACCATAAAATGATCCAAACAAGTATTATACCTTGTCGGTAGATCTACACATTGTCGAAATCCATGTGTCGCAAATAAGTTGACATACTCCGTTGAGTACGCTGTCTCATGACTTGGTAGTATATCTATATTGATGTCACCAGTGAAAATTATATTAGGCGCTTTGCAACTAGTTAAGATGATATCTATGGTATCCAAATACTTTTCAGTATTATGAAAACAGGGGGGTCTATATGAACATATTATTTGATAATAGTCGTTCATAAGTGATAAGATTAAAAAGTTACCTTCACTGCAAACTGGTTCGCAACTGACGACTTGTAAATTGTTTCTTACGTATGCTATCACACCATCATTTTGATTGATGTATTGCTTTGTATTAAATGTATTATAATTTGTTAGAGATGGTATGGATGAGAATTCATTTAACCAGCATTCAGTCAGTACAATAACATCACAATCGAGGTTCAATTTTGTTAAATAGACCAAAAATGAGTCCAAATTACAGTTTACACTTCGTATATTAACAGTTATAACAGATAAAGATTTGGATTGATTGTTTTGTAGCAAAGCCATATTTTTATTATCAAAATAATTTATTTTTGTACAGTTAGGATTAAGGGAAGAGTCGATTTCATCTGCTAAAGTTAGATCATTAGGATGCATTTTTAATATATAGGATTAGTTAAAAAATTAAAATCATTGATTTTATTTGCTTGTAAAGTTTTTAGATATATTTTATAATGTAGCTGAGACATGTCAGGAAATACAACGTCCAACTTGATAAGCTTTCTGTAGAGGAATATAATTACTGTCAATTGCAGAATATATAATTTGTTGTAGCTATGTATGTAGTATAAACAAGATTGAATGATATGGCCACAGGCGATAATATAATTTACTTTATTTATATATATAACAACGCTAAATATTTTATATAGAACAAGATAAATTGTCATAAAGTAGTACAAAAATTTATCAGAAACAGGCTTGCATAGTCATTTTTCCTTTTCTAATTTTGCCAAATCTAGGTTTGATTGTATTCTAATAAGAGGAGAGCCATCATCATGACGCAGGTATATTCTTCCAAATGAAGTCCAACAGTATTTGTATTTATGAGTTTTTTTAAACTCTCTGGCTAAATAAAAAAGATGTTTATTCTTTGTTGATAAATTTTCAGATACAAATATCTGTAACTTCGGGCCATCAATTTTCAAGTGACGTGTGCTGAGTAAACCACCGTCATTTTGTCTCTTGTTAAATTGTCTTAATCCACTCAGAAACCTTTCTTTCATTATAATAGATGTAAAATCGACTATTAAGGTATTGTTTGAGGGTTTAGAATTTAAACGGAATACGTCTTTGATATCTGGGGGTGAGATTGGTACATTTAGAATGTTTCCCAATTTTGTAACAATTTCACATAAATGTTGTTTATTTTCCTGATTTTTCTTAGGTATATTTCGAATTTCCAAGCTGCCAGATCGTAATTGTTGCTCCAAATATTCCACTTTTCCTTCTAATTGTTGTATATAATTACTATCCTCTTTCCTGTCATCTTCTATTTTTTTCAGCTTAGTCATTACTTCCTCATACTTCGCCGCGACAAATTCAACACTTTCCTGTAGCCTTAGGTTTTGAGATTTAAGTTCCTCCATTGTACTTTGCATATTGGCATAATTTACTTGTTGTTGTTCTTTCAGATCTTGGAACATTGAAAAAAGCCTTTGTTGAAAATCACTGAAATCCGATTTCTCAATAGATTGTTCGCGTTTTCTCTTAATACGACTCGTAATCTGCGAAAACATCGACTCATCATCCAGCCGTTCACTAATGTTAGGGTTAATATAAATGTATATATTTTTAAATCTTTATTTAAAGGCCTTAGTCGCTAGAGATTATGTCAGTCTGTCTCTTAATAATAGAAATGAATAATGGTAATGATAAAACATCTTTAAACGCTGAGTTAGATAATGGATCATGCAGTGACAATCGCATGATTTATTACGATATCTATTTGACAATAATTTATCGCGCTTTGCTTGTAATATAACTAGCTATAAAAATTCTCTCAATATTGCCCCCTCCCCCCCAAGATAGGTACTCGTTGGATGCCTATTGATTGGGTATTTTTGTTTAGATGTCGCGGTTGCAAATGGCCTCTGTGTAGCCACTCTTGTCCTGGATTGAATAAGTACACCGGCCACTCACGTTACGAATGCGACACACTGAAGACGGTGCCACCAAATTACAGAGACCTCGAAGATCTAAAGGACTCTTACCAGGCATTAATGCCTTTGAGGTGATCAAATTATATAAATTAAATTAAACTCTTACGTTTATGTTTACATACACTAATATACTCTAATCATGTGTTATTTGATTAATGTTATCAGATGTAAGCTTCCATTTATTTCAAAAAATTATAATCGTAGGGTTCCTTACGTCAAAAAGAAAACTGAATCCTTAAGAATCAGTCGCGGGTTTTTCTCTTTAGCGACTTGTAAGTATCAGTCCATTAGTTTCTTCCTAACTACTGGAGTGCAACTCATATACCTTGCCTACATCAGACTTAAGTATTGCGCCTGAACTGCACTGATAAATAAGTACCAAAGTAATTTTAAGCACGGGGGTAAAGAAAAGAAATTATACAAATCAGTTCAATTCGCCCTTGACAGTTTTTTCTTCGTAACACTGAAATAAGTCTGGTGTCAAAGAGACGTATAATTTCATTCTCAAAATAAAGAGTCCAATTCGCGCTTGGCAATTTTTCTCTGCAACATAGAAATAAGTCTGGTTCACGATCAAGTTTGAAACACGGAAAATCTTATCATAATAAAGATTTTCTATGAAATTCCAGATGTTTACTTCTCAAGAAATACGATCCGCCTAAGTGGGAAGCGATATCAGCCATGGAAGCCCACAACGAGTTGAGACGTGCAAGAGGCGATATCTATCCCTTGAACGAAAAACTCGTAGTGCGGCGGCTGCAAGCATGGAAGTTGCATTATGAACCGGATGAAATACATACAGTCTGCGGCATATTGGAGGTTTGTTTTCAAGTAAAGTTGAATGGGATATTCATCATTCACTAGTAGATATCGTTATTTCTGAAGGCTCTAGTTAGATTCCCGGCCGATTTAATGTGGAAAATTAACTCTTTTTACTGTTTTGGAATTCACTATTCCAATTCCCATGAAATTGCTTCTTAGCGATATTCATGTGACGTGATGTTGTCTCAAATACTAATATATTCTTAAATAATAATATATTCGTATTATACAAATTTATTTTTTTATTACTTCTATCTTTGTTTTGTTGTATTTACTTTCCCTTTGATGCAAAATCGAATCCCTAAGACCTAATCACCATTTTTTATATAATCCAAAAAAGGATTTCCAAGGTACTATTAGAATAACAGCGCGTGTATGTCATTTAGTCCATTTAGAAGTAATGCAGAGGCCCCTGCTATAAAAGGGTTCAGGTTGACCTCTTGTATTTCTGTTTTAGTTTTATTATTATTCGCTGTATGTGGTTTATATGATATTGTGTGGTCAATAGATATTTCCTCATTCCGCTGTTTTTTTCACGCATTTAGGTGAATGCTTTCGAAGTGGGTGGTAGCGGAGCAAACGCGCGTGCCTTGTATGATAACGCATACCTACTGGCGCATGACTGCACCCCTTCCACTACTCACACTGACTTGGAGCGGGCGCCCGGTAGGCCACTTGTCATACGCGCCTCCATACCACATAACACTGGAGATATCATCTCCTTGTGCTACGCGTACACTTTACAGGTATAGTCATTCAGACGTAAGTCTTTTGTAATAATATCCTTCCTTTGAAGTAAGGCGTGGTGTCAAAAGTCAACGAGATCAACGAGCATGAATTAAACGTGCAAGGAACGACAAAGACGTGTGAAAAGAACGTGCCTCATGGTACTCGATAGTCTTTTCCTACTCTGCAAGGAATCTGGTGTGAATGCTGTGGACAGACAGACAATTTATTAGATCTTAACTTATACATGCTTATTGATTACCATTCTGAGGAGACCCTCAGTTTCACTCACGTGGTCTGAGAATAATGTGTGCACACTAGCCTGTTATAATGAAGTTTTAAGCTAATAGACATTTGCCGTCGCGTACTTTTTTTAGAACTTTTAAAGGGGATCAATTTCGTAATACATGTTTTTTGCGTAACTTTCACCGTTTCCTTAGCGCACGCAAGGAAAGCTCTTAATAAGTAAAATATTTTTCATTGTTGTTCTACTCTTAATGTCATAGCGTGATGATATATAGCATGTAGCCTTCCTTAATAAATAAACTATTTACCATAATAAAAATAATTCAATTCTAACGAAAATAAACTCTATAATCTTAATTTAGATAATTAAGATTATAGAGTTTATAGAGTTCAATTAAACAAACAAACTGAAGAGTTTGTTTCTTTAATTGAACTCTATAATCTCTATAAGCTGAAGAGCTTTATTATTTGTACAGATAGATACGCGGATGACAAAATATATATCACCCGTGCACACATAACATAGGTTATAACTTACATGGGCAAAGTGTCGGGAAATCGAAAGTGGAGAAAAATAAATTTAACCTTTGCTCGTTCTCCAATCGACAATGTACATTTGTCGATAGATGCAATTCACTATCTTCTTATCATATTGACAGGGTACACTGAAACGTCGCGAGCACATTAAACACAGCAAGTTCTTCGATTGTACATGCAATCGCTGTGCAGACCCAACGGAGCTGGGAACGTACGCGAGCGCATTCCGTTGCCCAAAGTGTGCTGGTCGCGTGCTGCCCACAGCACCCTTACAGTGTGACGCTCCGTGGAGTTGCATCGACAATCAATGTCACTACAGTATGCCCGCGACCGCCGTACAATTATTATTAAAAAGGTGAATATTTCGATCTTGTCCAAAAGGAACAAGGAATAATAACGATCTTTGATAATAACTGTTACAGTCGCTTCGGAGTCAGCCAATGGGAATGAATCTGCTTTGGATATTTATATTTTTTTTGTTATTATTATGCATATTGTATTTCTGTTATCGACGAATATGTATGACACGGTATATTGTTCGAATAACGAAAAATATAACTCAATTTGTAGTCTTTTATGTAATGGAAAGAGACTTCATATTCTAATGAAGGCAATTTTTAATTTTAATTTGACGTCTCTGTATGAAATAAAACAGGGGAAAAAAACAGCCTGTGCTGAGATTCTTGCCGGTTCTTCTTAGTACAAAGTCACCTGCCGGAGATATGCGAACCGATGGCATAGCTTTCGACATTCACAAGTGCTTGTAACAGCCTAGACTGAATAAATTATATTGAATTTGAATTTGACTAGTATTTTAACATCTCTGCCTGGGGCACAAGCCTACTCTGAGAATATTATGGATAGAACAAGATAGAATGATGAGACAAATCTGGCAGTGATGGTGTTCGCGCGCGTAGAGAAGAATCTCGCATAAATTTACTACATGCTGCATTTAAGATTTAATTATAAGACCATAAGTTGATATGAAAATGTAAATCTTAACACTAGACTAATAAAAATGTAATATAAGGATAAGAAACAAAGACCAATTTGTTTGTCCCAGGCTAACAGATGAATACGAGCAGATTGACGTGAACGGCGTGCCAGGTTTCGAGAACTTTTTGCACAAGTATCGTAACGTGATCCACAACACTCACTATCTGTGCCTGTCCGCGATGCACTCGCTTAGCCAACTGTATGGCAAAGTGGCCGACTACATGATACATGAGATGCCAGAGACGGAACTCAATAGGAAGATACAAATCTGTAGAGACTTGATGAAAATTTTTGATGTCATAGAACCAGGGTATTCGAGATTGAGAGGTAAGGACCACTTCTTAGAATATAGATTTTATTAACTATAACACTGATGCTGATTCACGCTGAATGAAATCAATCAAACTATCCTTACTTTTAGATAGCGATTTCTGTCTCATTATGTCTTATTATTTTGAGCTCTTCCGTGCTTCGGAAGGTACGTTAAGCCTTGATTTTGGTTACATCATCAGTAAAATCAACCAACCCGCATTGGGCCCAAACATAAAATTCCATCTCTCATAACGATTTACTGTATAGTATTGTGTTTTAGAAGGTACTAATCGGTTATGTACGCAGGAGTGACGTTGTATGAACTCCACGCGCCACTTATGATTCTCACCACAAGAGACTTCGAAAGAAAAGCTATAACAAAAGAAAATCTTCGCAATCGCCTAAAAGAGGTCAGTATAATAATATTATCAATTTTTATTATGAATATTTAAACTTTCGATAAAAATGAAAATATGTTGTAGTTATAATATTTGTTATAATTATTATAAGTTAAAATATTTGTAAAAATACATGTGTTTGGGTGGATTACCTAAACATTAATGAAAATACGCTCTATAGTAGCAAAAATGCAACAAGTGCTTGAAAAATTCGTCAGTCCTTTAGGTCCTGGGTAGCTCAGTGGTTAGAGCCGTCGCCCTGATTGCGAAAGGTCGTAAGTTCGAGTCCCACCTCAAAATGCCAGGGACAAAGTGGATTTTTAAGCGTTTTTCATCAAGAATATTTTTCAGTACAGCATTGTGTATGCAAAATTGATCAAATATAATAATCATCATTAAATATTGAAATTTACATTGCAGATCGTTGGACACCTGACGGAATCCGCGTTGATTCTCGGATTTGAGCCTGCACATTCATCTGAGGGCCTGATGGCGACTGCAGCAAGAGATGCCCTCAGCAAGATCAAAACTTGGGAACAGATTATTGGAAAGATATCGTAAAATTAAACTAACATTCAAAATGTCTACCACCAAATTTTAATGAAAATTAGATAAAATTACTGATTTAAAAGTAAGCATTTTTAAAGGGTTCTAATGGAAACTGGATTAATGATAAAATAATATTTCCATACTTATTTACTGCAAAATCCTTTTCATCAGTATAATTTCTATTTAGTATTCCCGCGACTTCGCCCGTATTAATTATAGCCCGCGTATGATATAGTTTCCCATAGCTGAAAGAATTTTACAAACCGGTCCAGTTGTTATGGAGACAAACAAACACTCAAATCTTTCCTCTTTATAATATTCATATATTTTCTGCATGTCTTTTAAATAATTTCTGCGTGTCTTTTAATTTAATTATATTTATAAATAAAAATAGGAGCAAGAAACGCTACTAGCGAAAATCTACGTGAATATGAGTAACTCTAGAATCCTGAAGTTTTAAAGTTTCCAAAAACATGGATACGAGTATATTTAAGTTTAGGTGCTTAAAAAGAAATATTAATAAATATGGAAAATATCGCTTTTGCAGAAAATGATTACATGATCGATGTTTTTATTTTATTTTTTGCCATGTACGAGTAAAAATATCTTGTAATTTAAGTTTTAGCGTTTAACGTGTAAGTCGACTTCAACAAAATCGTGAGATTAAAGTGCTATTATTTTTGTCAATATGATAATTGTAAATAATACTTACAATATAAATTTCTTTGGAGCTTGATATATTTGTATTCTACAAATTTATTTTTATTATAATATTTGTATTTAGTAATTAGGAAAAAATTACTTCACATTTATTTTATTTACTTTCGTTAATTTGTTAAAACTATGTATTTGTTCATTCCTTCTACTAAAAGACATTTATTCGATTAATATTGTGGTTTCTTATCTAATGAAAATAATATTAAATTTCTAATAAACACTTTCCAAATCAGTTTTCTTGTTTTATTAAATCCAGCTTTATATCCTCTTCGATTGTCTCAAAAAGTCAAAGTCAAAATAATCATTATTCAAATAGACTTCTTAAAAGTACTTTTGAATTGTCCAACATTGTTTTTCCCTACCACGTCTTTTGGCTGATAAGAAAAACAAGCAAGAAACGCACCAGCTCTAACAGGAGTAATGACATTCATAAAAACCATGTCATTATCTATACATTATAAAGTCTCCTGGATGATATATGTTTAGTTTGTTGAGGTAAAGCGTGTTGTACTTTACAATTCTGAAGGCGTCTGTCATTTCTACAATACCTCAGTACGTATGTACCTACATTAGTGATTAGAAATAAAATATTAAATCTATGTTTAATTTATTGTCTCGTTATTTTTCCCTATTGCATCTGTAATGCTTTAGAACGCAAGAAGTTGCTATACTATATATTTTCAGAGACTTTATGATAGCGAAAAGAATATTTACGTTAAAAAAGGACTGCCATAAGTCTATAATCGACTGTAGAATCGAAAACGATCGTCTGCTTCTAATTTACTACTACTACTTACTAAACTTACTAGTCTAGATAAAATGCTATTTTCGACACACGAAGATCTCTAGAATAGTTTACCAGCACTATCTTGCTATCGTGGCTTGAAAAACTAGCCTACTGCATCTCGTACATTCAGACACAATATTTGGAAGGGTTAAATGACATGTATATAAGTTTACAGCTAAATATCAATTCCGAGGTTGATCCTTTTCGTGCTTACTCGACAGTCAGTTATCTACTTCTGCATCTTTACAAGACTTTAGAGACAGCAAGTTACCGAAGGACAGTATACAAACTCAATCAAATCTGGGGAAACCTCATATCAGCTAATAAGATTTATGTTTTCTATTTTTTCTGCTTATTAATAGTAATTGCATACGAATATGACAACTTTCTAGGCGGCGATTTTACAGGCCTTAAGACAGAAAGTTCTATAACAATAGTCAATTATTGTGGAACACCACGTGGAAGCATCGAGTGTCTTCCAAATTCCGCAGGTTTATTTTTAAACGTTCAATGCGCGTGCGCCGGGCAGTCCGCACAAAACAACCCGATAAACGCATCACGTTACAGTTTACTGATTTTTTCTGGTGTTATTTGGTTAACTTAATTATATTGTTCATTATGTGCATGTGATTCGTTATTGAAAATAACTTGAAGTTGTTCCGAAGAACTAAAAATAGTTATAATCTTTTCGATATCTACACAGAGATGACCCAATATTGAAAGCAGTTCATTCTTCCTGAGGTGTTTTATAAATTTATACAATAAATACTTTACGATTTGGCTATCCTCGTCCTCACCATATGTAAAGTACAAAAATAAAGTTTCAGGTAAGTGACCCCCTTGATATCTACCAAAATATAGTCCTTTAAAATAAGTTGTAGGTAAAAGAGAATTTAAAATTCCGTTTCAAGAACTCTTATAATTTTTACTAGAGTACTGAAGTTATTCTAAATGGCTTGAAACCGAAACATTTAAAGTTCATATTATATAGAGTCAAAAACCTTCCTAATCAATTAGAAAGCAGTTTGAAGATATGTCACCAAAAGGCGCCTGCGCCATTTGCCTATCCCCTGCCGAGCAAAAATGCTCCGGGTGCCAGGCCGTACACTACTGCACTAAAGAACATCAGAAGCAGCATTGGAAACTACATAAGAATGAATGTAGCCCCGCTAGGGTTAAAGAGGATCCGAAAGTAGGGAGATATCTGGAGGCAACGAGAGATATACGAGCGGGTGACATCATTCTGAAAGAAGCACCTTTGATCACTGGACCATCTCAGGTAGGAAATTAAATGTCTTTGTTAAAAGTGTTATGTAATAAAACGATTTAAATTAATCAAAAAATATTGCAAGCAGTCAAGCGATTTTATAAAACATCTATACATTGTGTAACATAAAATAGCTTTCCGCTGTCTGTACGTTGAGGTTTTTTAAACTATACAGAATGATTCAAGAGGAAGATTTATATGTAAAACAGGTCCATGCGGACGAAGCCGATAAAGTGTGGAAAATTGTTATGTATGTAAACCCTAAGCCATAGACGAAGAAGGTATATTATTTATTGCTACATAAAAATTATACTGTTACTGTTATCGTTCGGTAGAAATATATTCCAAAAAAACCTTTAGATATAATTGAAGGAATAGTTATATAAGATTCTTTTCGTTTCAGATAACGCCACCAGTATGCTTGGGTTGCTATGAGTTGCTGAAGGAAGAGAAGATAGTGATCTGTGAGAAGTGTGGTTGGCCGTTCTGTTCCAAAGAATGCACTAACAAGGATGTGCACCAACCTGAATGCTTTTACACACAACAAACGGGCGAGAAGGTCGACATTTAATAAGCCTATATATTATTATTCATTTGCATACTTAATATCGTCTGTACAATTCTTTAACAGGAATATTTTGGCTAAGTAGTACAGATTACTGTATCAATAGCTAAGACAAAGTCAGTACGTCATTTGAAATATCCTTTTTTTCTTATCTATGATGTTATTGCAAATTTTCAGGTCTCTATATCAACTTTTGGCACGCCCCACCCCAGCTACCAGTGTATAACAATTATGCGATGCTTGTATCAGCGTGATCATAACCAGAAACTTTGGCAGAAACTTCAAACACTACAGTCTCATTGTGATGAACGCAAAGGGACAGACAAATGGAATCACGATAGGAAAATGGTTGCTGAATTCATTTGGAAATTCTTCAAACTAGATGGAACTTTTAATGAAGACGAAATAATGAAGTGCTGTGGAATATTACAGGTAGATAATTATTTTTTACACTATTTAGTGTACTGCAATTAACTCGATAGGATCTCAACACTAAAGCTAAACTCGAATGGAAGTGTTTATGTTATGGATCGGAATAAGTTTGACAGCATCTAAGTATACATAGTATAAACCAAAGTCGCTTCCTGCTGTCTGTTCGCTGAGACCTTTTATACTACACAACAGATTTTTATGCGGTTTTCATTAATGTATAGAGTCATCCAAGAGGTCGATATATATGTATAATACAGGACCACTCGGGCGAAGCTACTGGCGGAAAGCTAGCACAGAAAAAAAACGGAAACTTTGTGCTCTTTGTATCTTAAATATGTATGTATAACGAAGTGACACTCCTCTGTTTATATCCTACATTTTCGATTAGCGCTCATTACTCATAGTTAGTTAATTTTTATGTTTATTATGAATATGACAATACAATATTAATAGACTTACTCAAAAGATAATGCACTGAGTACCACTGATTCCAAAATAAAAATGAAATATACATATCGCTCTTGTAAAAAAGTATCATCTGATGTTTTGTAACTTAATATCTATCTATTTTCTTTTTAGATTAATGGGCATGAGGTACCTCTTTTGGAGCCAGATTATTTGGCTGTTTTCGATCGCATATCAATGGCTGAACACAATTGCAGAGCCAACTGTAATAAGAGTTTCACTTCTGACGGTGAAATTGTAAGTGTTGTTACTAATTCATAACATGTTTTATTTATGTAAGAACTTTACTTGAACTGTTTTTAATAAAAAAAATAACAAAAAACAAAATTAATTGTCCATATTTATTTATATCAAAAGAAACCATATATTTTCTTTAAGATAAGATATACATATAAGATCCAGATAACTATTAAATTATTTCCATATCCAGATCTTGAGTGCCGGTGTGAATATCAAAAGTGGTTCACACATATCAATCTGTTATTCGGATCCGCTGTGGGGCACAGAAGCTCGCCGTCATCATCTCGCCGACTCAAAATTCTTTGAATGCTGTTGCGAGAGGTGCTCTGACGTCACCGAGTTCGGTACTATGTACAGCGCTGTTAAATGCAAGAAAAAGTAAGTTTTACAAACAATTTATGTACCTTTAGCATCATCATGGATAAATAAATAAATAGTTACAAACTCTTGTATTAAATCCTGTGAAATTCAATTTCATACATTCTCTCACATATATGTTTTGATTGTCCACAATTGAGAACATTACTTAGATATAATTTTACTTCGTCTACAGAGACTGTAAGGGTTATCTTCTGCCCGAAACATTCATCCTGCCAATCCTACACAAAACAACAAGCCCAGATCCGCAGACCAGAAATCTAGACAATAAGATGTGGATATGCAGTAGCTGCAAGGACGCAGTATCTGACGCCATCATACAGCAACTGCTCCAAGACATCGGGACAGAGCTTAGCGTTATGCCCAGAGGAGACCCAGACGCCTGTGAGAGGTACGTAAGGTCAAAAAAATTAACTGTGGTGGATTTTTAAAACATGGTAAATAAGTTTATCTATCAATACGATTTTAACACCCATACTTTACACTTTTAAAAATTGCAAACATGCATGATATCTTTTTTTATATGTTTACAGATTCATCAATCACTGCAGTAGTTACCTTCATCCTAACCACCACTACATGACAGATGTGGGCCTGGCACTAGCACAAATGATCGGTCAGGAGCACGAATTAGGATTGGCAGGCGTGACAGATGAACGACTTATTCTCAAAACGCAACTGTGCAAGAAGATCGCTAACTTACTGGAGACACTATCGCCAGGTCTATGTTTTTACTACTCTGTACACTATTTCTTGGAATTCCTAATGAAATTATAACTACATAATCCTTTAGTGACACTGGAAGTAGCACTCCATTGTGGCCTGCACAGACCCCAGCTGAAATTGTTTGTTAAACAGTGACGTAATAATAATCAATATTGTTTAATAGCGGAATGCCGAGTACGTGGATCAGTTCTGTTTGAACTTCACGCCGCATTTGCTGAAACTGGTAGAAGGCAGTCCCTCACTGAAGGGCCTATGGTCATGCTAGGATACATAACAGTAAGTGTGTAAATATAACTTATTTAACATGCACATAAAATGAGGACTAACTTTAGTACCCATTTTACCATTGTTTCAGACTGGTTTAAACCATTATCCGACCAAATTATATCAACACGTCTGAATTTTACGTTTTCTTTTCTGTCATTGTAATGTGCCAAGTATTTAATTTTTCTTAAAAGGTGGACAATGTTTCCTCTTGATTATAAATAAATAAGTAATGTGATCAACGAACCACTTCTACAATTATAAAGATTTATATAATTATTAATAACAGCGACATTAACCTTAGAAGATGAGGGTGGACTAATGGTGGACCTACCTATATACTGAGTCGCATTAGAAATAATTGGACTTCTGGTGTCATCTTAGTTAAAGGAAAGGTAAAACCGCAAAAATTATTAAACCTCATTCATAAAAAAAAAACTGGAGTTGAGGCTGTATACACTCAAGATACATTGGTCGATGTATAGCCTAATGATTAAAATGAATACATTTTCACAGCAACAAAAAGGCACATACATTGTGAGACAGCGAAAACCCTTTCACTGGACCACTTAGTAATAAAACATAACGATTAAATTATGAGAAATTTATGCAAATATGATTATGAACTAAAAAATCTTTACCGTGGCAGATAAGCAGAGCATGCGTATCATAGTGAAAACACAGACAGATAAAAAATAACGGTGATATCGTCAAGTCATCGTGATATTAGCGGCTTTAACATTGATAGTTGGTGTCATCGTAATTTCATGATGCCTTACGATATAGTGCTAGTTAGGGCGCCAAGTTCCAGTGTTCTGCCTATGGCGCTAAGTTTCATTAAATATTTTTTACAGCCAAATGTGAATTTTCTCGACTATTAAATCTCTCTCGAGTTCACCATGCTGCGCGTGCTGGTAAATGTTTTACTATAAATACATTACAATTAAATGATGCACTAATGGTCAATTACCTTGAAATATTCACAAGCTGCCTATCTCTCGTCAGCCTAAGCTAAGGGAGGCATGTTTTTTTATTTCATTTCTATGTCAGAATGGATATTAAAATAGAACAGTTTGTATCCTTAAAGTGGTAGGTATTTAGTGCTTGTTAGTTTCAGCACATGAATTCTAGACTTGATGTTATGCATCGATTTATTTAATTGAATTATACGAACAAAACAGCCTGATACTTTGCTTGTGCAAGATTCTATGAGTGGTCCTCAAAGCGACTTGACGTCAACTTGTTCTTGCTTTCTCAATTCTGCATTTTCAGAGATTTTAGTGCGTGACGCCATATTAAATTTTGCCAACGGGTATTCTGCTATCTCTTCAATTTCGAACGAATTTAGTTTCATTCACTCAGTGATTTTTTCGCCCACTTTATTATTTAACTCTGATACTTCGAATTTTAGTTACTATTTTAGATAAAACTATTCCCTACCATAAGTAGTTAATTTCAAGTATTTTTTCAGTCATTCGTAAGTATCGGTAGTTTAATATATTTTTCACAAACATAATTTAACACCTCTCGGATAAGTATCAAAGTTTCTCGTTATTAGCCGCCAAAAAATAATGCTATTGGAAAACCCCAAAATTGAAAACGAAAATAGCTTTGTTTGATAAAAATCGGAAAATAGTAAAGACTACCTACACAAACAACAAAAATCAAAACCCCGTTTTAAAAGTAGCAGTAGCGTCAGCTAAATGTAACATTTTCGTCAAAAATCAAACGAAAAAAAAGCCAAATAATCTTATGGTTTCTTGTCATCAAAAGCAACATTAGCTACAACAATAGGGATGACGACTGGGTAAAAAAAGCAATTCTATTTAGTCCGTCAGTCACATAATAGAAAAATATTAGATAAGTATTTTTTTCACTTTAATTTAACGAGAAATAGCTTAGATAACAGGCATTAAAGTTGAGGAGTGGGGCTCGCTACGTCACAGTTTTGTAGAAAACGTACCATAACGTGACGTCATGCGAAATTTCAACTCCGTGTATTGCCGTAATTTTATGATTACGAAAAAAATAAAAAATACGAGTTTGAATATTTTTTAACACTCTACCTGACGGACAAACAAACAAAAATTAGTCGTCATCTCTATTGTACAGATTTGAATTATTTAATCATTTCTATAGTAACGACTTAATGCCCTATACGAACTTCTACTCTCATTTTCGGAATAAGATAATAGTTTCTGAAATTATAGGATTCAACCAAACAAACAAACTTCAGCTTATTAGTATAGATAAAGATAACTAAATATCCATCATCATTGTTGAAGACAGCCACGTGCCGAAAAATGTACAGATCGAACGACCAATCACAGCGCCTACATTAGCGGAATTATCGGGGAGCCCATTGGCTGCGTAGGCGCCGTCCGCACGGTGGGGGCGATTCCCCCACCCGGCGCGCGGGCGTAAAACGCGCTGTGATTGGTCGGCCGCCGCGCGTCACTAGTATCTAAGTTAGATGTTAAGTTTAGAATAAGGGTAGGGCCAAATTTGTAAATATTTGTAGTCAAGTCAAGTCAGTCAAGCAGTATAGTCAAGCAGCAATAAGTAGCCAGTAAGAAGAAAAATAAAACGTCTATAGAAGAAATCCGTCTTTGTTTTGCACCATCATCAACAGTTATACAGCATCGTCTACAGTTGTGGTCCTTTGAGCCGGATCACCACCCTCAACAATCATCATAAAATTACATGTAAAATATCAGATTTAAGTAGTCTGAGAAAATTATGGAGAATACTTTTTGTAATAATTATATTATAAAGTTCGGAACGGCCCGATTTCACCTATATTCTTAGACCAAATGGACTATGCCCTGGTGGGATAGAGTGGGACCTGCCTGAGGTTATTTCACTTATAAAAGTTTTTCTGAGATATATTAGTTAACCTTGATTTAAAAAAAAAAAGTTAAGGTAACAACATCGTTCATTCTCTTTATTTTAATCTGCCGAAAATTGCAACTACTCTATTTCTTTTGCAGGAGTCACGGAAGATCCTTATAGAGTCTGCTAGCCTATTGCGGCACGAACCAGCTGAGCTTCCCGAGGGTCGCCTGGCTCGGCAGGCGAAAGTCAACCTGATGCAAATGGAAGAACTCATCAAAAACTTATCTGCATCTCTTCCCGCACCGCTGTAGCTCAGACCAAATAAAAACTTTATTTCTAGCAATTTTAGTACTATGGTTTTAATCTTGTCTTCTTTTGCAAAGACAAATATTTGCATATACTTTATAATAAACTTATGAAACAGCTGCTAAGATTAAAAAAGGTTTTGAGATAAAGTAATTTAGGTTTAGTTATGTAATATAGAAAAAACGTCTGCCGTCACAATTGTTTGTAAGTAGGCAGTAAATAGGTTTATGGATTCTTAAAATGAACCATCATTGTAAGAAATTATATTATGTTTTTTCATATACGTTCACATTATTTATTCTCAATTTTTTTAAATTCCGATTTCCTGTACGGAAAAAATAATATCGTTTTAAAAGCAATTTAATGTTTATGAAAATTCTATTGAGAGCAGAGAATATAATAAAGCTGAAGATTTCATTTGTTTGTTTATTTGATTTAAACCCTAAAATGTCAGGAGAATTGAATTATTGCTTTTGTGTTGCATAGTATATCATCACGCTATGACTTATAGGAATGGTGCAATAATGAAAACTTTACTTTTTTGAAGCTTTCCATGCGTGCGCTTCGTAAACGGTGAGAGTTACGCAATAATCATGTATTACGAAATTGATTCTCCTTAAAAGTTCTAAAAAAAGTCCGCGGCAATATATAAATATAAATCTTTAATCTTATCCCGAAAAAACCACAAAAAGGGATCGAAATCTGAGTGAAGGTTCGTATAGGGAATTAAATAGTTACCATACTAACCGTTGTTTACAATTAGTGCTTACTGACACTCTGAGATGGAACGCAAACCCATGACCTTTCACAATCCGGGCGACTGCTCTAACAACTGAACTACGCAGGACCTAACAGGACTGATGAATTTTTCAAGCACTTGTTACTTTTTCGCTACTACAGAGCATATATTCATCAATGCTCTTTCAAAAGGCAATCCACGAAAAATATTTTTTACATATATTTAAACTTTCGATAAAGATGAAAATTTGATCTAATTATTATATTTGATCAATTTTGAATGCAAAATTTATGTTTTGGTTTGATCTTTTTGGTTTGAGTACCTATATTTCCATAATTTATGGGAGCCCCCTTGATTATTTATTTTCTTTTCTTTTTTTTTGTATTAGTTGTTATAGCGGCAACAGAACTACATCATCTGTGAAAATCTCAACTGTTTACAACCGTATGGTGGTAACAGCAAAAAACTACGTTTGTTATATGGGAATCCCCTTAAATATGTATTTTATTCCATTGTTGTTAGAGCGGCAACAGAAGTATATTATCTGTGAAAATTCAACTGTCTAATTTTCACGGTTTATGTGATACAGCCTGGTGACAGACAGCCGAATCTTAATAATAGGGTTGTCGTTTTACCATTTGGGTACATAACCCTAAAAACTAAAAACAAATTTGCTACCGAAAGTCTCTATTCCACGTGGACGAAATCACGGGCACAACTAGTGTGTGATATGTTTAGTGACACCTACTTACATCAAAATTTGATTTCAATCTAAACATAGGAGAGCAAAATACTCGATCTTCTGTTTTGTTCAATGTTACCTATAGATTTTTATATCGTCTAAGCATTTTGTCAGATTTTGCATAGAGAATCAATCAAATAAAACCTACTTGAAAAGGTTATAAAGTTGTCAGCACGCTTCCATTTATTTTGTTACAATAACAAAACTGCTAATCCATTTCGATAAAGTTTTTAGGGTATCCAGGCCACATAACCTTTCAAGTAAAAAAAATTACAAAATTGACCCACAATTCGTGGAGAAATCGGTAAACATTTTATTTAAATCAACCTTCGTCCTTATCAGCATATTTTGGAGTTTTTTTATAAATATAAAATGAACACAACATATAATATCATAATATTCCTAAAGAAGTTCGAAATAGAATGTTGTTTAATTATTATATTATTACCATATATATAATTATGCATATTTTCTTGATATTTCATCTCAAATTAGGTTTTTTTTTGTGGAATATAATAAGCTTATCTTTTTGTGATGTGTAGTTTTGTATGCGTAACGACCGGGCACGGGCATTCAACTGCAAGGTCATGTTCATGGCATCTTATACGAGTATGCAAATATGTACATTGTATGTTTGAATTTTTTAAGCCATTGGCCAGGCTAATAATTTTTTTTATTAATTACGCGGGCGAAGTCACAGGATAACAGTTAAATTTTCACTCAGACGACCCAATAAATTGCCTGCTAACGGTTTTTAAATTTCGAGACATCAGGATTGCTTCTACTTAACTCTGTATCAAAACCCCTCTGTCTCTCCAAATTAAACCCTTAGCGCTTCCACACACTGAAACTTCAACCATTATATAAATCTTGCACTTTTGTATACACAGATTTTCTCTGTGGATAAGAAAGGTCACCATCAATTTGCGGACTCTATTGAGACTTGTACAATTAACTTAAATCTTAAAACATACTAAATACACATGTCATTTGTACGTGTGGAATGAAATGATATTATCCTTTATTCAAAAAAGCTTGTCTTTTTGAATCATCAAGATTTCTGACTGTTTTTCTTTTTACTTTGACTAGCCTTTTGGTGGATAAATTTGGGATAAATGACTAAGTTAGAATCACTGTTGTCAAATATAGAAATTTGATTAAATAACTATTATCGATTTTATGAAAATATTCGTAGCCACCGAAATTATTATTTGCGTTAAACAAATTAGGACTAAGTCGCGAATTCACAGAAACGTAGTTATCACTCGCAAATCGCTCAACGACCAATAGTATCTCTGAGCTCAGGAAATCTCAAATCAAACAAAGGCTGTGTCGTCTCTACAGAGTACGAACAGACGCCATGTATCATAGTGTTTCTTTGGATTTTTCTGTGTTAAATCAGACTTTAATATTTGTGGGTGCTAGTGAAATGGCATATATCCTAACAGTTATAGGACATATTGTGTAATCAAAATAAAATCGTACCAGTTACATTTCATTCTTATGTAATTAAGTGAATATACTTAATTCTAATTAAAATTCATGTAAGTACATTACAATTATACTTTTCCTACTAAAATTTTAAAGCGAATAAATATTCTACCACTATCCGTTTTATGTTTCAAAATTTATTTTCATAGATAAAACATACTTTCAAGTAAAATTGAAATTTGGTTGATTTAGTGACAATTCTTCTCATCGTGTGATTGCATCTTACGGTCGCAAGTGAATAATAGCCTTTAGGCTGCTAAGGGTGATTGTGAAGCTTTTTATAATTGTGAAAAGTGAAGGTCACAGTTTTAGAAACCTTAATCAGTCATGATAAAACGAGGTCTTACCAGGTTTAAACTATAATACAACCAAACTAATAAACATGTCATAATTTGATGTTTTGTCTTCTGTCATTGTCAATTTGCTTTAGACGACTAATGTTTTGATCCAAGTACTAACTTAAGTCCTCCTTTAGTAATAAGACGCAAATTGTCATCAATCCACTAAATTCTGTAATTCCATCAAGAAAGCTGTCCACTATGCATATGTCATCTACGGGGCACAATGAGAGACAGGGTCAGTCTTTTGGTTTTGTCCCCCTCTTAAAGGAGTTAATGACGGATGACTGACTGTGTAGGTATCATAATCTATACGTAATATTATAAAGCTTTGGTTGAACGCGCTATCTTGGGAACTACTGGTTCGAATTGAGCAATTATGTTGCATAGTCCATTCCTTAGTATGTCCCAAAAACAGCTGACTAAGGGTTGAAAGTACTCATTTTTTCCAAATTCTATGTAATTGAATATCTGCGTAACTATTATACCTAGATATATAATTTTACCATACAATTTTACAATAGCACTCTCCAGGAACCTCGGGAGCGTCTCTGAAACTGTTCCACCGGGTATAACATTACGCTATGACTAATAAGAATGGAGCAGCAGTGAAAAATGTTACAAAAAAGTGAAAACCACGCAGGCGAAGCCGCTGGCGGAAAGCTAGTATTAATATACAAAAATGCCTTTATTGATACTTTAGATCAGTAAAAGTACTACTACGTATTGAGTGTATGAGAAATTAGAATCACTAAGATACATTTGCCGACAAAACTCGCATAAGCGATTGCGTACAGATAAGATATCGTATATCTTGTTATTGTTACCAGTTAAGCTTTAATAATCTAAAACAACATTCGTTACAATGGGACAATATTATCGTGGAGAATCTTTAAATAAATAACACATTTTGGTGTGAATTAACGGTAATTAAACATGATTTCATAACAACGTACTAACATTGGATAGATAAACAATATCTTTTGGGAGTTTACGTAAATGAAATCAATTTGCTTTGTGGTAGTTAAATCATACTTCTACTTTAATACTCGTAATATTAATAAATTTTGGACATAAACTGGAATTAATTTATTATTGTGAATGTGAAATATTTTCAATAACTACCAAAACATACTCAGAGCATTCAGGAAAGCGTCAATAAAATAGCGAACCCAAGACGCTTCCACATGCCCCTGCGGGTCAGTGAACAGTATAAAAATTTTCTTTATAAAATTATACCTTAACACCGAACCGGTTTCGTACCGACAACAAGCAAAATATGACGTTTGATTTATAGGAGCCTCCTTAAATAATTATTTTATTCTGTTTTTTAGTATTTGCTATTAAAGCGGCAACAGGAATACATTATCTGTGAAGATTTTAACTGTCTAACTATCACGTTTGATGAGAGACTAGGGATGCAACTAGATATCGGAAAACCGCTATATCGACGATCAAAAATATCGATAAATATTGATATCGATATAGAAAACAACCAAGCTATTGAAAGCAAATATCAAATTAATCCTAGAAGTACAGTATATCAGTTGTCCAAAATTTTAAAATACAAAAGCATTTTCACATATGATATGATATTACTAACACATCTGACATTATTTTGTAACCCTGATTTTTTGCTTTGAAATTTGTAGTAGTTTTTATCTTTATAATGAGTTCTTAATTTAAAAAAAAAATTTTATTCTCTATCTGAACGCAATCTACTTGAAGTGACAATAAGACACTTTCCCATTGTAACCAGAAACACGCCTTCTGAACGCCTTTTTTTAAAAGCAGCATGTGAAGAATGACAAGTTGAGGAATGCTTTATCTACCCCAAACGCATGTATCTCGCTTCAAGAGTGAGATATCGTATGGGTGCACCGGGAAAGGTGATATTTGGGTGTAAACAAAGCGCTCTCGAGTTCAGCATGCTACGAGTGCAGGATACAGCATTACACGAACTAAGAACAGGCTTAATAGCCAGGGAATAGCAGGCCGATTTTTTAAATAGGAATATTTATTATTAAACATATTTAAATATTATAGGTTATTTCAAACAAGAACAAACAATTAAAAAATCCATCAGCCCTAGGAACTCTGCTTGAACCCACGCCCTTAGGCAATCAAAATCAACAAAATCATGACCTTACCAAATACTTATATAGGTACCTATTAGAAGATAAATTAATTATGTAGACCTAGATTTATGATTCATGAAATTTTTCTATAAAAATGAACACAATGTGTAAAAATGAACACAATGTGTTCATTTTTATATAACTAGTTTAACTATATAACTAACTATATAAATTAACTATATAACTAGTTAAAATGACAAAGTTGTTTGAGAAATGTGTTTATGATGTAATATATCTCAAACTTCGTACTGTGATTATTGAGCATCAGCATGGTTTTATCGGTAGGAAATCCACGGAAACCAATCTTTGCGAATTTGTGCATAATGTTGCTTCTTCAATGGACAAAGGCTTCCAGGTGGACGCGGTGTATACGGATTACTCCAAGGCTAAAATTTCGCACAGTTTATTGATTCATAAGCTTGGTGGTGTCTACTTGGTGATCATGGTGATCTACTTCGGTGGGCCGAATCTTATTTACGAGATCGTAGTCAAGCCGTGGTAATCAAAGGTTTTTGTTCTTCTTTTATTCTAGTGTCATCTGGTGTCCCTCAGGGCTCTCATCTTGGACCATTATTATTTGATTTATATATTAATGACATTAATTGCGTATTTCAACATTCAAAATTTATACTTTATGCAGTTGACATGAAAATTTATAAAATTATTGAAAATGATTCTGACTGTTTGTTGCTTCAAGATGACAAATAATTTATTTACTTATTGCGAAAATAATTGTTTGCATTTAAATATAGAAAAGTGCTCTGTTATAAGTTTTACGAGAAAGATAAAGACAAATGTTTTATATGATTATAATTTACTTAATCGGACCTTGAATCGCGTTACCGAGGTGAGGGATTTAGGTGTTATCCTTGATACTAAATTGTCGTTTAACAACCGTATTCATACTATAATCTCAAGGGCATTTCGGATGTTGGGATTTATTATCAGGATCGGCAGAGACTTCAAACGTTGTTCTACTTTAACTCTTTTGTTTAACTGCTTTGTTAGATCGATTTTGGAGTTTGCCTCAGTTATCTGGAATCCTTATTATAATTTATATATAAACAGCATCGAAAGAATATATTTGAAATTTGTAAAGCATATGTCATTTAGATGTCCACATTGCAATGATAATAGTGATGAACTTATCAAAAAGTCCCTATGCAAACGTCGCTGCGAGAGGGATCAGATTTTTCTGTATAAGATCTTAAACAATCTGATTGATTCGCCCTCACTTATCAGTAATATTTACATAAAATGTCCCCGGATGAGCTCTAGAAGTAGGGCTTTATTCAGTGTTCCTCTTGTTAGGACGAATTACACTGCTAACACATTTTTATATAGAACTTGTAGTATTTATAATAACAAATTTAATTCGATTGACATTTTTAATAACAGCATTTATGTTTATAGGAAAAAGTTGAGAGAAATACTCAATGATTAATTTGTGAATCTGGGATTTTCCAATGTTTGTTTCATTTTTTTTTATTGTTTAATTATTTTTAGTAATTAACACGTTTCATGCTCTTGTGAATTAATTAATGGTGGAAACTTAATTGATTTGTGACATTGTTTATATTATTTTATTTGATTGTGTAATAATATTGTTTGTTTCCCAAATACTGATAAAATAAATAAATAAACAAAGATTTTCTAAAAATTATGTCGGAGACTTTTTAGTGAGAATCTTCCATTCTGTAACCAATTTATTTCCTTTAATATTAAACAAGCTTTTGCCCGCAACTTCGCCTGCGTGGTCTAGTTTTGAGTCCAAAAATGAAAATATTCCATAAAAACTTTCATCCTCTAATATACCCCTTACGGGTCGAATTTCGTAAAATCCCATCTTAGTGAGCACGTACGTCTTAAAAAGGAACCGCATGCAAAATTTGAAACTCCTTGCACTTGTAGTAATGAAGTTTCATACAAACTTTCATCCCCTAATTTAGCCCCTTCGGGGTGGAATTTTCAAAAATCCTCTCTTAGTGCTCCTCTACGTTCTCTAAGGGATCTACATTCCAAATTTCAACTTCTACACTCAGTATTTTTGGCTGTACGTTGTCTGTCAGTCAGTCACTCAGTAACACAATAAATATATATAGATTTTATCAGATACCTATCTTTTTAATAATTTTTGCATTCACAATGCTATATTGATATTTTTAAAGAAAAACTTAAACAAAATACATATATATCTCAGTTACCCCGACTTGCTATTTGTACCCCAAGCTTCCGCATTCCAACCTCCTAACTCTCCTGATTCTTTCTAGGCATAGGATACGACATCTTAGCGATGTTATGACGATATTTCGTTTCGTGTTACTACTTTGACATATCTTTTGGTGGATTAATTTAGTTTATTATATTTTTCACAAGACAAAAGTCCTAGTTTTTATCAAACTGCTGTAAAAACTTAAATCAAAACGAAAACCTTTTTAAGTGACTTTTAAGTATAATTTGAAACGTGCTTAACTTGAAATGCTCAATTCCGAAACCGGGTGTTTGTCGTCTTTATAGAGCGCGACTGCCCCACTTTTCTAAAATCTTATAAGGCCTAATAGCTCGAAAAAAGCTTTTATTCATGGTCCTTTTTATGACATATTAATAAAATTCACAGTGTAAAGGGCGACGAATATTGCGTCGTTTTATCCCGAAGTGGCTTATGTTAAGTCAGAACCTGATTTTCCAATTCCGTAACTATGCAGCATCAAGTTTTTATGATATATGAAAAACCTTTATTACATTAAAATGTAGATTTTATTTGATTAAACAGATAAGATCATTGACTACTTGGCTTACGATTAAGTTAAAAAGATTTCATATTAAGGTAAGGTATTATTAACGTTTCCCTTTTGTTTCAGTGAAACATCAACGGTATGCTTTTGAAAAGCTATTTATGGCTCCTTCTCTGCTACGCCCAGAATGCCTGCAGCAATTTGACAAAAGATTATGAAGTTGTGTCTCAGTACTTGCTAGCTCCAACAGATAGGCCAGGAGAGACACTGCCCATACTTCTAGGAGTAGAGAAGAGTTCGGGTTGTTTTTGCCGAGCTACCTCGAAAATCGAACTGGTCGTGTGTTTTGGGAACTATGAGTGTAAAAAGTTTCCTCAGGTATGTATAGACAACAGGTGTTAGGTGAAGGTATATATTTATTATTATATACGCTGAACCGTTATTCGAGACCTAAGAGTGAGACAGCACTACTTCCGTTTCCTAGAACAGCCCTCCTCCGATACCCTCCATTACGTCACTTCCGGCAGCTCAAGTGCGGTAGAAGGGATTTTTGTTTTTGCTTGTCACCGCAGCAGGTTTGACTCGTCACATTGGCATCGACTTTCGTCGAGTGAACACCTCCTTATTAACAACGTTGTTGTTCGTAAAAAATTGTAGGTAGATATTACAAGTTTATTTTAAATTTTAAATATCATGAGTGGAACTCCTGAGCGGGCTTCTAGGCCCAGACAACATAATTTGTCACCAAAGCAGGCTTCTAGGCTGGGTGAACAGGAAAGAGTTACTCAGGGGGCTTCTAGACCCCGAGAAACGCATAGAAAGGCTCCCAGGCCAAGAAAGCGTCGTCTTTCGTCTACGAATTCGTCGGTCAGTGATGACAGTTCGAGCACCAGTTTGTCTACGTCCTCGTCGTCAATATCAAGCGGCAGTTCATCATCTAGGCCACGGCGTCATCATAAAGAACGTAATCGGCGGCGAAAACAAAGTAAAAGTGACCGAAATTTTGAATCATTGGCGAATCAAGTGAGTACAATTATTAAATATTTGAAGGATCAGGATCAGTTCAATAGTTTACAGAACTTAGATAACGATTTAGAATTGCACCCTACCCGAGAATTAACATCATCATTACTTCCTAGTGAACCTCTTCTAAAAAGACCTCGATTCGATAAAAATATTCATTGTAACATCAACACTAACTTAAAAGAAGCTGCGATTGATAATGCTTCCGAATCTAGGCTAAATATTTTATCGAAATTACATTATTTCGATACGAATGATTGGGATCGCGTAAGGTATATTGACACTGAGAAAAAGTATCTTGCAAAACCTGGATTTCAAGACTTGGTTGTTAATACTGAATTAAGATTTTATGATCCTGATTCTACTTGGCTAAAATCTTTAGACCGTTCTTACGGTGCGTTAACTCATGCAGTAATACAACAAAATGAGTTTTTCAAGAATAATTTACAAAATATAATAGAATGGACTCACAAGTCGGATACTGTTTTGACCTCGGAGTCATTATTTAATAAACTAAGTGAATTATTTTCTGAGAAATCACAGTACATAAAGGTTTCCGAGGACATACTTCAACTTGTGTGTGGGAGACGAGCTGATACAATACAAAAACGCCGAGATAGCATACTATCGAGTGTTAAGGATCGCTATATTAAAGAAGATTTGCGGAAAATTCCACGAATTTATTTAATTCAGAAATAATGAGTTCCTTCTTATTAAGTAGTAACAAGCGCTCAACGGATGAACCCATTATGTCTTTTCAAAATAAAAATAATGTTACTCGCGCTAAGCGGCTGCGGAAGCCGGCACCACGCGAACGCATTTATGATGATGTCGAACCTGTTCCGGGTCCATCATCAAATCAAAACAATAATTATGTTAATAAAAACAAGAAATTCGCAACAAACAATAACAAATTTAATTTTAAATATCGGGATGGTAAATTTAATAATTCAACTGGCAGGAATAGTAATAGTAGATTTCGCAAATGACTGGAGACAAAACTCGTTTTACGGCGGATGTTTAAAAGATTACATAAATTGCTGGAAAAAGTTAAATGCGCCAAGACATATTCTAAAAATAATATCAGGTTATCGAATACCATTTTGCAAAATACCGCCATTAATCAATCACAAACGTTTATTAAAATATCAGACACCAACAAGTGCAGAAATGTCACGAGAAATTTTAAAATTAAAAAATCAAAATATACTAATACCCGCGCCGCCGCCTCCGAGTTTTATTTGTCCGATGTTCCTTGTGAAAAAATCGGATACCAGCAACAGACCAATATTCAATCTAAAAAACTTGAATCGATTTCTAGCTCAGTTCAAGTTCAGATTAATCAATGTCAATCGGGTGCCGGATTTTCTGCAACAAGGCGATTGGGCAATAAAAATAGATCTTTCACAGGCCTATTTTCACGTTCCACTGGCTCGCTCTCATCTGCCGTTCCTGAGGGTTTTATACCAGTCAGAAATTGCAACAGAACCGGAACTTTTACAAATCACCAGCTTACCGTTCGGCCTTTCGTCAGCACCCGTGATATTTGCGACAGTTTCCAACTGGGTAGCAGAGGTTTTGCGCAACAGAGGTATGAGGGTAATCGTATACCTCGACGATTATCTGATTGTCAATCAGGGCCAAGCAATGTTGCAAGAACAGGCTGCGGAAGCCATGCAAATTCTAAATTCACTTGGTTGGAGTATCAATTACAAAAAGTCAGTATTGGCTCCAACTCAGACGATCGAGTATCTGGGCGTCACATGGGACCTCAGACAAAATATCAAATATATACCCGCCAAAAAGAGACTAAGAATCAAAATAAAATTGGAGCAAATTCTAGGTCAAGGTCTTTGGTGTCTCAAGGATGCTCAGAGAATATTGGGAATGCTAAACTTTGCCTCGTTTGCGGTTCCCAGAGGTCGACTTCATTGCCGCCCTTTACAAAAAGCAAGTTATCGGCTCCAAAAAGATCAACCACTGTCGAAGAGCATAATTCAACCCCAGGTCTTGACAGAGTTTCAGTGGTGGCTAGAATCCATGAGAGCAAGTACGCCGATTCATTTTGCACCCGCTGCTCACTTTCTGACTACGGATGCTTCAGGCACCGGCTGGGGTGCAGTAGTAGACGGTATTCATTGGACGGGAGGCTCTTGGCTTTCCGATCAGATAACATGGCACAGCAATCTAAAAGAGATGTGGGCAATAATCAATTCTGTTCAAACGTTTGCGACACAGTTTCGAAAGACGACTGTTCTAATACAATCCGACAACAAAAGTGTCGTGAGCTACATACGGAACGAAGGCGGACGTTCGAAAACTCTCCTTCAAATGACTGGGATGCTATATCAGATGCTATATAGATCAGAACAACATCCATATTGTTCCTCAGTATATACCCGGAATGTACAACGTAGAAGCAGACATGATCTCCCGACAACAGAGACAGACAGAGTGGACGTTAATTCAACCGACGTTACGGGAGATATTCAGACGCTTGGGTACACCAGAGATCGACCTCTTTGCGTCTCAAAAGGCTCACATTCTTCCACGGTATGTTTCACGAGACTGCAGGGATTCAAAAGCAGAATACCACGACGCATTCAGCAGACAATGGCGGTACCGCAAGGCCTGGATATTTCCACCACCACACCTGGTACCTCGAGTTTTAGCACACCTAAACAGGGCCGAGGGCACATTTCTACTGGTGGTCCCACGATGGAGAAAGGTATTCTGGCGTCCATACCTGAAACGCCGAGCTATAGCCGCACCTTGGACAATAACACATCTGAGAAATTGTTTATTGGACACACAAACTTGGAAACCACCTGCACAGGTGGATCAGATGTGTCTCGAAGTATGGTCAGTAAAAGGTGGAACCACTTACTAAATGAATGGTCATTGGATGAAATTGAGTTGCTAGACTCGAGCTGGAGAACTTCTACAAAGAAAGTATATTCATCAGTTTGGGAGAAGTGGCGAAATTGGTGTCACGATAAGGAAGTTGATATTTACTATCCAACGGGATCGCAATTGGCTTAATACTTGGCTAATCTACATTTAACAGAAGGCCTTGCTTACAAAACGATTTTAGTATATAAATCCGTGATAGCTACTATGACGGCTTCCGAGACAGACTCATTAAGCAATAGTCCTATTGTAAAACGTATTTTAAAAGCCATATCATTAGTGGCTGCTAGTAAAACACCTAAAAAATCTTACATATGGGATCCATCGGAAGTTGTGCTGTGGCTGACATCTAATGTTCCGTTTCACCTTACACTTTATGAAGTATCACGACGTACCGCTTTATTGTTGCTTCTGTCATCCAGCCGAAGAGTCCATGATCTCACTCTCTTGAACATTGACGAGGATCATTTCGAAACGTTTGACGATCATGTCATACTACATCCACGGTTCGGATCCAAGACCGACAATTATACACATCGACAATCTTCGTGGAAGTTTATAAAAATAAACAACGACAAAATATGTCCTGTTTATTGGATCAAACGGCTCATCGAAATATCAGCTCATCGTCGAGAAAACAATAATATGAGTGAACTGTTCTTAACAGCACGAGGACCAGCGCGGCCAGCGTCTCACACGGTACTCAGTGGCTGGGTACGATCGCTATTGCGCGCTGCTGGAGTGGAGACTAGCGCTGGCTCTACACGTAGCGCCACGGCTTCCCGAAACTGGTTGGATGGTTATGATATTGATGAAGTTATGAAAAAAGGAAATTGGCGGACTCCGAATACTTTTGCTCGCTTTTATTCCTCTGAAATTCGTAATTATTGTAACTCGAGTTCTAATTTATCTCACGTTTTTCAAGCTATTTAAGTAATCGGTTGATATAAATTAAAGATGATTAATTGCATTTGATTATTTCAAATTATGTACACCTACTTACCTACTTATGGGAAAATAAAGGAATAAAAGTATTATTCTTCTTTGTTTTTCTATTTGTAGTTCTCTTTATTTCTCGCACATTGGCATAATATTAAAACTTTACTTGCCACCAGGCGATAACAAACACATCTCACTCTTAGGTCTCGAATAACGGTTTAGCGCATATAATAAAATGTTTTACCTGAAAATAAAACAGTTATTATATGCAGAAACCTAATTTTTAATTACTGCCTAATGGCTAAATTCTACTGACTCCAGTGAGATACAATATGACGAGTCAAACCTGCTGCTGGTGACAAGCAAAAACAAAAATCCCTTCTACCGCACTTGAGCTGCCGGAAGTGACGTAATGGAGGGTATCGGAGGGGGGCTGTTCTAGGAAACGGAAGTAGTGCTGTCTCACTCTTAGGTCTCGGTTTCTGCATATAATAACTGTTTTATTTTCAGGTAAAACATTTTATTGTATTATAAAGACACAAATGTTCTCTTTATGACAGTTCGCAAAAATGGTCTTCTTCTCCACGGTAACCTAAAAAGTTGATGTCTTAAATGGCGTCAATTAAAAATACATATTAGAACAAAAAATTACTTTTATTTTTATTTTAATCATGAAAATTATTCTGATTTCAGATCAAAGTGAAAAGTGAAACATTGAGGGTAAGAACCACAGTGATAGTAAAAATTTTAAGAGGACAACTGGATTCTCTTTATCATTTAAAAGTGCTGCAAATTGAGGCGAACCACAAGCTGCAATACCTAGAAGATGGACTGTTCAAGAACTTGACAAATCTGCGTCATCTATCGATTTCATACAATACACGTCTGTACACGATTGGAGTTCGGACGTTTGATGGTTTAATCAACCTTCAGAATTTAACATTAGTCAATAATGGTTTTACTAACATATTAGATTTAACACCAGCACTGCGACCTAGCATTCTTCCTTCACTCAAATGGTTAGATCTCTCAGAAAATCCCTTCGAAAACATACCGGAAAAAACATTCGAGCCTATGGAAGGGACTAAGTTAAAAAAACTTGACGTTAATCTATGTAGGCTTGATTTTATTCACCCTAATAGTATGCTTCCATTGAAACAACTGAAAGAATTAAACATTGGTGAAAATGATATGAATGCCTCTTTAATCGAAAAATTTATATTGAAAATGATTGATACAGGTATTAATCTAACTAGCATCGATCTATCTGGTATGGGATTCCGCAGACAGCCACCGAGACCTCTACTTGATATTATTGCTCAAACAACTATCAAAATTTTAAAGCTAGCACATAACCAATTTGAAATTATTCACGATGATACTTTCCCTAAAATGAAAAACTTAGAGTTATTAGATCTAAGAAAAGTTCTCGCATTATCCATAGGACCTAATGCATTTGATCCTTATAAATTTCCTAACCTTAAAGTTTTATTATTAGGAGGCAACAATTTGCCTGGAGTTCACAGAAAACATCTGTCGGACCAATTACTAATCATGGATATGTCAAGTAACAAGGGGATCTCATCAAATCCAGTATATTTTGAAATTGATAAGGATACTTTTTTGCAAAGTAAAATGTTGCGTATATTAAATTTATCGTACAATAAAATTAAATCATTGTATAATTACACTTTCACTGGTTTAGATAATTTAGAAATGTTAAGCATTGAAAATGGTACATTGTATTACATAGGTCCAGGAACATTCAAGCCCCTGAAAAATTTGGAAATATTGAACTTAGCTAATAATCCGTTAAACGCAAACCAAAACTTAACAAGTGCCCAATTTCAGGGACTGAATAAATTAAAAGTGTTGATATTGACAAATTGTGGTATCAGACACTTTTATGACGACGATAATATATTTGAAATGATGCCAAATTTAACACAATTAATACTTAAAAATAACCAGCTCAAATTTTTAACTGCTGAAACAATAAAGCCACTAAAGTTTTTAGAATTCTTGGATTTAAGCGAAAATTTAATAATCTCTTGGTGGAGGCCATTGTTTTTGGCTTCAGGTATAAAACCTAGGCAATTATATTTCACAAACAATAAAATTTCACATTTTTCTATAAGTATGGTTGAAGATGTGAGATATTTATTAGAAAGTAGAGGAAACTCAACTGTAGACATTATTTTTAAGGACAATGTATTCTCTTGTGATTGCGGTGCCATGTACAAAACATATTTATGGTTACAAGTGAATGGATCGAGAGAACTGAAACGTTACTTCGATCACTCTAACTTTCACTGTAGCAGTCCTGACGTTTGGGAAGGACGACGTATCTCGGAGTACTTATCTTCGATGAAACATTTACGGTGTTTGGTTTACAAGAAAATTACTAGCATAATGCTTTTGATGTGGACAGCGCCTTCTTTAGTGACTATAATATTAGTAATAACATTAATAGTAGTCATTTTCAAATACAGGATCTACTTAAGTTATTGGTTGTTTCTTGCAAAAATAGCTTTAGGCAGAAAACTGATAAAAAAGTCCTTAATAGCAGAAAACATTGCACCCAAGGGTTACAAATTCGATGCCTTTGTTTCATATTGTAACGAGGATAGAGAATTTATTTCCGAAATGCTGTTGCAGCTAGAGACAACTCCACCTCATTTAAAATTATGTGTATATGAAAGAGATTTTGAAATAGGATCCTTTATTTCTGAATCAGTATTGAAATGCATTAATCAAAGTAAATACATTATACTGATTATAAGCAATAATTTTGCAAAATCGCAGTGGTGTAGATGGGAGACCCAACTGGCGGAATATCACAGACTATTCCTAGAAGACGGTTCTCCATATGATCCATTAGTACTAGTCAAAATAGGTGAAATAGAGAGTAAGTATTTAACGACCACCTTGAAATATTTGTTGAAAACCAAGATTTATCACGCATGGGACGAAAACAACACTGTAGATTTTTGGAAAAAGTTAAGATGTGTTCTTATTAAAAGGTAGTAAGCAAAAAGTTGAAATTTTGTTTTATTTATTTACACATTATTAAAAATCTTTTTTCTTATGTTATTCAACCATAAATAACAACCTTTAAACTTCGTAATTTATAAAATATCGACTTGAAGAAGAGTAAAGTAGATATTGAATTAAACAACTACATAAATGAGAAATTTGGATGAAAGTTATAAAATTATTAAATTTATATTCCATTGCCTAAATTATAATATTGAATAGTTACAATATTACATAATGTTCCGCCACGGTTGATGTCTTTTTTTTAACGACTAAAATAATATTAATTTTTATTACGTACAAAGAAAGTTGCAATATGAAAGTTTGTTTACAATAGCTTCCTTGAGAAAGTTAAATATTGGAAAAAAAACGAAAGTGCATCCAAGATTATTTGTTCATCAGGCAACATCCAGTTGAGTTTCACCAAGACTTTCTAACCGATTTGCGCACTAAAAGGAAAACGATACTGGCAGCTAATAAGTCGGTCGGACTGTGATAAATAAGAGAACATTAACTAATTGTACCAGAACTCATTCAGTATTTTAATTGCGACACTAATAAACTTAGAAATTGTCATTCAGACCACCTCATAAGAATTTACTCATAACTTTTTTATAACAATATATTCCATAGTTATTAAAGAAAATGAAATTTCCCACAGAAGAACCTGTTCATCAAACTGTGCATAAAAAATTAAAACTGATTTTCTATCTGAGTGCCAGACTACGACATGTCAAATAAGATTTTCATTCAGAGGTTAAGTATAGGAAGACAAATTATTTGTGAACATTTAAAGGACCTGGACATTTGTCGAGGTCCTTTAAAACCTACTTAGTTAAGTTAAATTATTTACTATCATACCCTAATATAAATTTGACGCTAGAATATTCTGCCGTATTAGAAATATAACATGATCGAGTACGAGGGTCAAACTGAAAGTTCTTAGAACTGGCCACTTATAAACAATATAATAAAAAAATAATTCTAAAATTTGAAAATATAACTCTTTGCCAATATTACTGAGTATATATTTCATTCATTTGTCATTTGTTTTACGATTTGGCGGCAAATTGAAAATTGTCTGTGTCACGTCATCATGAATTTAACACGAGAAAATTTTCGTGCAATGATTTTTTATGACTTTCGATGTCATTTAAGTCAACAAGAAAGTTATGATAGACTACGATTGGCCTTTCACGATGAAGCCCCATCTCGTGCGACTGTTTACAACTGGTTTAATGAGTTTAAACGTGGTCGCACTAATCTCACTGATGATTTACGTGAGGGACGGCCTTCTACGGCGACGACTGAAGATAACATCTGTGTTGTGCGGCGTATGATAGAGACTGACAAAAGAGTGACCTATCAACAGATTCGGACAAGCTTAGGCATCGGTATGAGTCAAGTGCACAAAATCCTCCACGAACATTTAGCAGTCAGGAAGCTTTGCGCCCGGTGGATACCTCATAATTTGACTGAGGCTCAAAAACTCCATCGTGTGGATTGGTGTCGTAAAATGATTGAAAGATTTAACGGAGGTGACTCAAATGTTGTGTTCGACATACTAACAGGTGACGAAAGCTGGATTTACTGTTATGATCCTAAAACCAAAAGACAATCTGCTCAGTGGGTGTTTCCTTTCGAGGAGTTGCCAACTAAAGTGAAGAGAGATCGAAGTGCGGGAAAAAAAATGGTGGCCTCGTTCTTTGGAAGGATAGGTCATTTTGCAACAATTGTGTTAGAGGATCAAAAAACAGTTTCTGCAGAATGGTACACTACCAATTGTTTGCCACTTGTCTTGGAAAAAGTTCGAGAGAAACGACCTCGCAGTAGGATCCTCCTTCACCACGACAACACCTCGTCGCACACCGCCAAGCGAACGATCGACTATTTGGCGACATCAAACGTTGAATTACTGGGTCACCCGCCGTATAGCCCCGACCTCGCGCCTTGTGATTTTTATTTATTTCCAAAAATTAAAGAAAAACTTAAAGGAAAGCGGTTTATGAATGCTGAAGAAGCGGTGGCTGCGTATCGCGATGCCATTGAAGAGACCCCTAAGGACGAGTGGGCAAAGTGCTTTTCCCAGTGGTTCCATCGCATGCAGCGGTGTATTGACGTGAATGGACAATATTTTGAAAAGATATAATAAAACTAATAACTGGCTAATGTAATCAGTTTTTGATTTTCTAAGAACTTTCAGTTTGACCCTCGTATGTATTTCTTCCAGGCTGCACTTGTATTATTTATACTAGATACTTGAAAGTACTCGTAATAATGCAAACAGTATAGGTAACCTCGTTAATAATATTATAAGTAGCCAAGCCCAGCTAAACTCACAATAGAATACAAGTCTTTTAATTTTAACTGTTTGACACTAATTATATGCACCTAATTAGTTTAATTAACGTTCGCCTTTCGATTTTCAAGTGGCAGGTCTGCAATGGGCGCTATTGTTTTGGCGCGAGAGAAAACGCCATCTTCATTCAAGATATCGTCGCGGGATAACGGTGCTGCGCACGCGCACTATACTTCTCTCTGTTAGGAGTGTATGAAACAAGTCAGGTGTAAAAGAGACGAATGCAGACAGTGGCTGGCAAACCATTACTCGACTGACCTACTCAGTCGCTCACACTCTTTCTTGCTAGCAAACGGAACCTAATTTTTTAACGTGTGAATTTGCAATGTAACTCCATGCGGTGTTTCATTAAATAGCATGAAATAATATGAGTAAACAAATTTTACGACAAATCAGTTTGACCTGACTGAAAGATTTCGTATTGTCACGATAATTTTACATAGATATATTGCCAAAAGTTGAAGTTTGATTCAATGCTTCAGATATTCGTTGCATTCTCCATATTCTCTTTAAGCACGATAGACTTATTAAAGAAACTTACCTACTACTAAATATGTCAAAAGAAATATTTGGTAAGGAACCTTATAGAGAAAAAGGTGAAGTCTGAGATCATAGAAAGTTTGTTATAAATTTAGTTGTAATAGTAGTAAAAATAAGTAGCAAAAATTTCTTGACAAAAGAGTTGATATCCCGTATCGCAACTTTCAAGCTTTTCTATATCAATATTTATTTTTGTGGATGCGAAAACGATGTAAGTGGAACCAAGTGCATCTTTTCCCACTGTTAATAAATGCATTTAGTGCAAATAAGTCCTTGGCATTGGTTTGGTGTACTCGGTAGTAGTTGGTCGGCCGTAGTGCGGAGCGGTTGTGACCACGATGTTCTGTCTCGCGATCACAGTGAAAGTTCGTTAGACACTGAAATGCACGCGGTAGCCTTTCTGTTTGTGGTGAGTGTTGGTTACCAAAGTGTTGAGGGTGCTCTCTTTGTGGATTTATGTTTTGTGTCTTCAATTGCGGCTCAGGTAGTACAACACAACGGCGATGATATAGTCCTAGAAACGATTCTATCAATATCAAATTATTATTAGAATTATTAGATTTTTGATAATACTAGTGAAGAAGATTATTTGATTACTAATAAACGGTTTTTCGCTGATCGTTAAAGTATTATTCGAGATTTCAATTAAAAAAATGTTGATAAGTAAACGAAAAAGCTTAGCTTTCTCTAGGTCTTTGTTTTAATAGCAAATGTAAACAAGCACACGACTATTGTTAAACATTTTCTTAGAGGCCAGGTTAATGAACTGATGGTCAGTTAAGAACCTAATGTCTAATGTTCATAGGAATTCAATAACTTATAATGAGTAGAACTATTAAGTAAAGGATAAACAAACGAGTCAAGTATTTATGAGAGTTATCGAGAAATTGTTTTAAAAGTAAATTGAGGATAGATATATAGAGACATATGGGTACATATATAACAAATATTTCATAAAACATCTATAATTCGTCATTTGATTTTACCCATAATGTAATTACCGGGATGATATCAGGATCTATAAAATTATCAATATATTGCATTTGATTTCTAATCTTAATAATGTTGTTAGTTTCATTACGGGGTAATTTGACGTGGACCGAAGTAATGCGGTGTTTATAAGTAAATAAACCATGGATTATACATATCAAACTACTATGTATTGTAAAAGCTATGTATACTTTTTGATAATTCTACCACGTTAATCAAAATGTTAAACAAAAACGACAAAATCTATGCATAGAACAAGAATATGTTATTTAAACCTCAATAACTTTAAACCCTACATGTTACACAAAAAAAAAGGAATGCAAAATGAGTCCAAATCCAGACAATATTCATCCCTTCTAAATTGATAATAACTGGATGGTGGATAGTATTATTGAAAGTCTAAAACATATAATTAAATCACGTAGACTATACTATAAAGTTTTGATACCTATATACCACACTTAATTTGTAGACAGAGATCTTAGTCAAGCTCATGATAAAAAAAAAGAACATGGAGTATTCACACAAAAAGAATCTATATCAGGATTTGAACTAGAGTAATAAAAGGACCCAGATGACATATCAGTAGCGAATCCCTTAGAGAAACCAGGACGAGCGGTACAGCCCGTGTAGAGACTGAACGGGCGCGGCAGCGTGGGAAGCGGGTCGGCTTTAATTAGTTTTTGTACTGACTGTTGCCCGCCGCTGGGCTGGGTGGCCCACATTTGGATAGCGAATACGGTGCATTTAACAGGTGTGTGATATAACATACAGATACACTTTATCTATAGAAATGACGAGACATTAAATTATACAGTTTAATCTATAAGCTCTTCTTGCACGTATTCATCGGCGTTTACTTCTAAAACTGCTGTTAAAACAACAAGTAGATATTATATTTATTAGGACCTCATTAGCACTTGTCTACCGTTCCCGCGCGCTGATTTCAAGACGTCGCCCTTTCTCAGGTCCCGGGTCCGATTCTCCAATGAGTCAAAATAAACCGAGTAAATATAGAAAAGTATTTTTCTACGTTGTTGTTTCATCTTCATTAGTTCAGATTTTCATTAAAAAGTAATAAGCCATTAAGATCTGAACAATTTATGTGATATCTAAAGCACCCAAATGGCAAATCAGGAACCAATCAGACAGTTGAAATTTTCACAGATCTTATATTTCACAAAAACAAATCCAAAAAGTAATTATTTAATAGGCCCTATTTTATTGTTTATTTATTTACGTGTACATTAATGTCAAGTTAAACAAATTAAATGTCAAAGTTAAAGTAATTTGATGAAGCCAGCTGTACCCGAATGACATAACGCTAGAGACATATTTACATCACTAGCTTTAACCCCGATATGCCATTGGCGAAAGTCGGAGGCGATTTCTCCTTGGTGGTACCTTGTAACGTAATAACCCCATTTGATGACAGTGACTTTGATCTTGTTGCTTCTTTCATTACGATCTTAGAAATCACTGCTCAGATAAAATTATAGTCAATAAAATTATTATCTACATCTAGATTTAATATCGAAACTTGATTTCGCAAATCAAAATTCTCGTGAATGGCCTCAGCTAAGACGAATCGCAACAACTCCAGTAATCGAATAAGTATAAGTAAGGAAATTCGTAAATAAATAAGTTTTCTATAAAATTTTTACTGCAGTAAAAACGAAGTTCCGCTTGGTGGATCTACATATATCATAATATTTAGCCAATTCTTGTACAACATAGGTACGTAATACTTTACCGAATAAGACTGGCGCGGATAGAAAAATTAAAAGAGTTGCTCTGAAAGTCCACAAATTCCATGAAATCTTTTTTGTAAATTTTTATTACAAAACGAGTTGCCACTTTAGTAGCAGATTTAAATATTATTATTATTATCTAGCACGTGCTATAATGAAACTAAAATTGATTGATTAATATAATATTTTTCCTTAATCGAATTAATATTAAACACTTGCATTTCAATTGTAATAAGAACCGATGCCTAAGAACCATGTAAAATAATTTACTTACTTTAGGTATTATTGATACTGACCTACATAGGTACCTAGTCATTATACTCTATCGGTCAGTTGTACAAACGTTCATTAAGGTTTAAAGACACCTTTAAGTCAAATTTGTATGGATAATGTCATATTAAACTAATAACAATTTTAAAGGACGTTTGTGCAACTGGCTGTATGTCTCATAATAAGCGAACAACTACTATATTGGGTATCATCAGTATTAGCCATATAATTTATTGTAAAGTTTAGATGTTTAATTCCTCCTAAAGTTTTGTATATGTATATACCTTAAGATTTAATCTGAAATATAAATTCTTCTTATTCTTGTTATCATTACTAAAATAAATCTTTTTCTTTAGGATTTGAGAGCACCATATTCCAAGTTAACAAAAGGTTGTTGATTCAAGTCCACCCTTCTGCACGTACTAAGATATTCTTATATAAATATAAATCTTTAATCTTAGTTCTTGTGGCTGAGTGGCTAGTACACTATCCTTTAATATATTATAAATGTAAAAGTTTCTTTGTTTGGATGTTTGTCCGTTAATCACGGTGAAACTACTGAACGGATTTTGATGAAATTTGGTATACAGATAGGGTATTAGCTGACTTAGATTTTATCCCACTAAATAATTCCCAAGGGACACGCGGGCGAAGCCGCTGGCGGTAAGCTAGTGGATTATAACCGTAAAGTTGTTGTAAAATATAAATAGAAAAAATAAACTATATACAGCTTGTATTTATACTCCATTATTTTTGCCGTTTTCTGTGATTAAGTTGTTATTGTTTTATTTTTGTTTTGTTTTAGTTGTTAAGTTAAATTTTATTAAATATGGACGATGTTGGTGCAGGCCGGCGTGGCCTACAACCATTACGCTCTAAGCCCTCATACCTACCCTCAACCTTTGCCATTTCAGGAAGTTTTTCCAATGTCTTCATCAATGTAGTGTCTGAATAAATGTTATAAAAGGCATTATAAAAATTTCATTTTGTTTACATTTTTTCCTGGGATATAATTAATTATAATATATAACCTTATTCTGTTCTAATTATATACACTTACAATAAAAATTTACCAAAACCACAGATAGATAGTTTTAGTTCCATGTTAGCTTGGGAGTAAAAGATGAATTAAGAAAATGTTGGCCTCATCTCATTCACGAGATATCGTAATAAATGGAAAATTGCCCAGCTCTTTTAGACTACCTAACGTTCAAAGTTTTAACAAAACTATAATGTATATTTTTAAAATTTATCTTGAAAATAAAATGTTCTGCACTGCTGCTTCTATGACCCTCTTTTTTCTAATGTTATAATGAATGGAGTATAGTTTATTATTTTTTCTGCAAGTAAAAGAATTTTTTAAATCAATCCAGTAGTTCCGAAGCCTACTCAATGCAAACAAACAAATATTTTCTCTTTGTATTATTAGTACTAATCAAATCCTTAATACAAACAATCAAATCCTTCTTTTCCCCTTTATTATTTTAGTATAGAATACTAATCTTATCCTTTATCCTTGAGGAGCAACCATATATACAAGCCTCATATTTGGTGGAACTAGTTAACAGGATACAAGGTATTCTAATACCTAAAATGATGTGCCTTCTATATTTTCAACATCTGTGGTGACATTTAGACTTATTAATACTGACCATCCTCAAGACGATGCGACAGACGAGTCAACAGTAACCAGTTTTTAAATTAAAATTAAAATGTCTAGGTTCTAAATCCGTCACTTTGCAGGTCGAGATACATTAGTTTAACTGAATGAATTCTATCTAAACTTTCTCATCAAGTACCGTTACTATATTTGATTTGCTTGCATCTACTAAATACTAATCTTTTTATGCCAATTCTATGATACTAATAAAAATTATGTTTGGTATTCATTGGTAAGCAGTAAATATGAAGACCGGTTAAACTGGCAGACTTAGGTTACAAACTTCTATTTTCTAATTATTTCCATAAAAGTTTTTTTTTTGTGTAAAATTCTAGGTAAATATTGATTTTCTAAGAAAGCCAAGCGATAAGACAAAACAACGTTTGTGGATTACAGCTTATGTTATTAAAAAAAGAGTAATATTTAGTGATTTTAAATCAATTATTACAGAACATACTTGAAGAAAGAAATTTGGAATCATTTTATTACGAAACTTGCGTGAGCGGAGGTATATACTTATTATAAAAATGAAGAGTTTGTTTGGTTAAACTTTATAATTCAGGAACTATTGGAACAAATTATTTTGTGTAAATGTCCATTTATTAAGGATGGCTGTAGGTTATATAACATCACGCTATGACTTATACGAGTGGAGCAGCAATGAAAATTGTAGCAAAAACGGGAGAATATTTTACTTTTTAAAGCTTTCCTTGCGCGCGCTGGTTCAGCGATGAAAGT